TTCACGTGTGGTTTATTTCCTTGCAGCTTAAAGTTTCATCGAATTTTCTCTAGTTTGTTAGTTCGGCGATCAGTGTTTTGTCAATGTGATGTTGTTTGTATATTGTAAATTGTTTAGACATTAAGACATCAATTTAGACATGATATTAAAATTGTTTAGACAAAGGACGTCATGCCACATTGAAACAAAATCCACTTATACATAACAATGGTCAATTTTACAGTTGATCTATTTCCACTTTTTCATTATTTTTATAATTTTTATGTACAACTTAGAACCTTTAGAATTGCATGCCAACTCTTATTTATTTATTTTTTTTATTTTCTCTTGTTCGAATTAATTTTGTTATTGTCCCTTGGGTTTCGAATTATCAAGTCGACTATAATTTTGAAAATGATAAACTTTGTTTAGTTATTTATTTATTTGTCCTTATTTATTTGTCCTTCTTAATTCGAGCATGGTGAACGTGCTGGTCAATGCAAGATGGTTACACTTAAAGACCGGATTTTCGTGCAGTAAAAACATCGAAAGTGCAAAAAAAATTGCAATAAATGTAAAAATTCCTGTTCAACGTAGTAATAAAAACATTTATATATCGAAGTTAATTCTATAAATATTTAAAGTGGTTGGAAATGATAATTGTACTCACAAACTGATGAAATGTACAAATAGATAACGACAAAAGTTCGGAGTCTGTAAACTGGGGCGAAGGTGGCCGCAACGGTTAAGTTTTTGTCACGGTGAAGGTCTTGGGTTCGAATCCAGCGGCCCTTTGTAAAAGAGCAAACATGCTATAAACAAGTTATGGTACAATCTACTTTAAATAGTAAAAACTTTAATAACAATAAAGTTCAACAAATTAAGTCATTGTAATCCACCACCAAATCTGAACATTTTTCTGCCAGGTTACACCCGTCATCTTCACTTGTTCGTGGGCATTGTTTGTATGAACATATTTTTACAGCACGCATTATACAACAAAAAACAATTCTGCCATCGGTCTTCGGTTACGTGTAGCCCCGTAGCTACCGCTTGAACTTAAGGGATTACGAACTGAACAGACTTTTTTTGAACGTGAATACTTTGCTCGCAAGCCGAAGAAAGGCTGAGAAACGCACATGAGAAAGTGGGAATGACGCAAGTGTTTAGCATTTACCCTCAATTTGTTTACTCATTCTGTTAACCCATTGAAATGATATATTTACATGTTTTTTTGCATAAGAAAATTTTAAAAAATTGGAAATTTTGTGCAATAAAGCCAAAACCTATGAAAATAAAAGGTGTGTCAAAAGAACGTCATTTTCACGATTCGAATTTCCTTCCGGTTTCGTTTCATCTCAGTTTAAATATCAAACAAAAGCACTGAGCCCTATGTGAGCTTAGCAGAAAAGCACTTGTTCAGCAGAAGCATCCGTCTCAGTAACTACCTCTACAATTACAAAGCGATTAAGGTAATGAATATCGCCCATCTACGGAGCTGTGTCAACTTATAAATTAGACTTTTTTAAGGCAAGCGAAGGCAGTTCCAAAACAGTTTAGAAGTAGGCCCCATTCTTGGTTCCATCCTTTATACATAATTAATACTGCTGACCTACCGATATACCCCATAATACCATCTACACCACCTACACGGACCATACTACAATTTTGACCTCTAATTCCTATCCAAGTCACCTTCAACGACCAAGAACACCTTCGAAAACGTGCAAAACGTGAAGGGCAAGATTGAATGAAGAAAAGTGTACGTTCAAATTGGTACAAGAAAAAAATACCGATTTCCATTCAACTTAAATACTTAGGACTATATTTATAAAGCAGACGTGGAATCCACACACAAGACTTAAGAGGCAACAATTTAACAGAAGACTTATAGGACCGAAATCCGTCTTGACCGACAACACTAAACAAACGTTGTACAAGAATTAATTGTGACCACTTTGGACTTACGGAGAAGAACTGTGGGGTTTCGCCAAGCTATCCAATATCCAGTGTATCCATACCATATCCAATCCTTCCAATCAAAACTCCTCAGACAAATCGTCAAAGCTACTTACTACATCACTAACCTCACTACCCGCAACCACTTCAACATTCCATTTGTCAATTTGTCAACGAATTGATCAGTTCTCGATTCCAAGTTTCACACAACTAATCGATCCATCCTAGCCCTGCTCATTCATTGCTCAAGCTCTCATTCCACATTACTATTCTGGGAACGGGCCGGAGACATCCTTGTCCTTAATCCGTCACACTGAGTGCCAACATTGTTTGGTTGGCTGGTTTCTCATGGCATGTGTCTTCCGAGTGCAGCGCTGGCCTTAGTGTTAGTGCTGTGACTGTGTGAAAAAACGTATTCTGATCACATGAATTTGTACTAGTATGAAGTATAAGTAGTAGTACTAAAGATTCATGATTGAAGGCATCCATCTTAATGCGTATCATTGTTATTTAGAGGCGTTTTTAGCTGATGATACTTATAGCTCATTGCCAGCAATGCCAGTGTGTGCCACAACCCAGTGATGTGTACAGTCATCATTGGCAAATTTGTGTACAATTCTCGAATAGAAGCCGATGATTATCTACATTGTGAACGCCACTAAGCGTTACTCTGCTATTATTTTTATTAATGATTATGGCCTTTTTCCTCATTGAGACCCTTAAAAAACAGCCAAAGCTTCAGCCTGATTGTTGGAGAAACGATCGCCTTCGTGCAAAGCTTCTGATTCTCACAACATAATACTGCAGCTCCACCTGCCTTGCCATTATAGCTATCGTTTGTATTAACTTCGTTTGCATAGAATTAGAAAAAACTATTTAGTTTTTATATGTGGACTCTGTTTAAAATCAAGGGTTTAATCATTTTTGATAAATTTACCGTTTATTAATGATTCGTGATACCCCTACAGAAAAAAATGAAGTAATAATAGATACACCATTACTCGTATGAAAAAGATTTATCCTGAATTAAAATTTAACTTTTGGGAATAAGTGTCGATCAATATTAGTTCATCCACTCGCAGAACAACAAATATCACATCGACCAAATGTAACATAGAAATATTTATAAAACATGTAAAGCAAAACGCCTGTACCATTTTTTAAATAAATGTATAATGGTATTTATTATGTATACAAACTTTATTTATACGAAAAGTTTGTCATACAATTTGGAAACAAAACAATGAGCAGACGATGGATACGAGACGTTTATTTTTTCTTGGTTAATTCTCGTAAACATTTCAATGATTTCACTTGTAAAAACTATCTTTGCTGAGTCATTTTATATAAATTTCACTGTGTTAAATGTCGAATAAGCGTTTTCTTTGCTTTCTCATGGCTTTTCGACTCCCTTTGCGATGAACCGTGAATCGCTAACATTTTAAGTATATTTATTGAAAATATTACAATTATTGTCTTTTTCGTATAATGTTGTTAAAAATGATATTGTAAACAATACTGAACGGTCAGAATGTTTCTAAAATGGAATTTTAATTTATTCGAAATTTCTTCAACATAACGTTCTCATCTGCTTTAAAAGAAATTATTCAGCTGCTAATAAAAATGACGAGCTGGGCGTTTTAGAAAAACCAAAATCACCATCACCAGCACTATTGAAACTGCTTCACCCAATGTGATCACTGTTTAGTTTATTAAACGAATCTTTAATACTAAAAAAATTACGTGTCATCTTGACCGATTTACTAGTCAAATTTAGATTCTGGATTTCCTACAATCGGAAGTCCTTGTCCGCGGTCGGCAAGGGGTCGGGAACTGCTAAGCCCCTCTATGACGAACCCCATTCAGATGTAGCATCTGCTCCCGAGGGCTTTACGCGACGGCTTACTTTCATAGAGGCGATTGAGTCCACGTGGGGCTTCACCCACACCATGACCTACTTAACGAGTACAAAAATTAGCTTGATCGAAAGGTTAACTGCTGCTGAAGGCAATATTGCTAATTGTTTTTAAGAAATACGTTTAAAAAAAATTCCGGCTATTTATTTCATTTCTGGACAATAAACTTTCTCGAACTGGACTATAAATTTAAGCTTTCTTCATTTCTCAACATTTGGTTTTAATTTTAGTATTTGTCCCGTTTTTCTAGAAGACTTTATAATTATTATACACTTAATTTTATCTCAGCCCATTTTGCAATAATCACTGTTATTGTTTGAAACTTTTTTTTTCAATGTAATTGTTGAATATAGTCTGCATTATTTATTCAAAACTTCCAGAAATTATTTGTTAAGGAAAAGAAAAAAATAATTTGATGCATGGACCGGAAAACTTAATCAATACTAATAATACCAAATTTTCTTATGGCTAAATGTACAAATGTACAAGGCCAAAAAAATTCTTGCTCTCTATTGTTATTATATTTTTAAGATTGATTTAAAACAACATTTATCTCCATGGCCATAGTCATCCAGAAATTTTTCTAAATCAGACATTAAATACATACATATATACTAAGGTAGATCTAGTTTTAATTAAAAGAAAATGATTGATGTTCATAACCAGAAATAATATTAATCAGACTGGGCCAGTCTTTTATATTAAGATAGTCAACACCGCTGGAACGTGCAACCCTAGTCATTTTTGTCATCTTAGGCAACTCACAATAAAATGGTGTTAATCATCTACTTGATTGCTTCTCAACTGGGGGAATTGGTTTCCTACAAAGCTTTGCTTACCTGATGACATTTTTCATCAGATTAATAAATGTTTTCACTTCAATTCAATGATAGGAAATTTGATTTTTGGAAAGTTTGTTTTGAAGGCAATGGGCAGCCAGAAGTGTTCGAAACATTTCTAGACTTCTTGTCTGGAATACAACTAAATTTAACTTGGAAGGATTGAAATCTACATTTAAAATATACTTCCCGGATCCACGTTTTCAAGATAAGCCCACGCACATAGATTAAAGTAGAAATAGTAAAATATTCCTATTCATCCTTCCAACTATTCTTAAGTTATCATATCAAAAACATTTTTTTCCAGATTATTTCTAAAATGAATGACTCCATAAATCCTTGTGAAGATATGAGGGACTACGCATGTGGCCACTGGCTAAGTACACATACGGTACCTCGGGATGAAAGTGTTTGGAATGTTAAGCAACTGATGAAGCACAAACGTAAGTAAAAAAACAAAAATCTTGTAGATTAAAAAAATTAGTTTTATTAATTAAAAAAAAACTATTTCTGTTCCAGACAAGGAATCACTGAGGAATCTCATCAACACGATGCCTTTCCCCAGAGATGTAGAAACTCTTGAATGGCGCGTGTTAAACATGTATGATTCCTGTATTTCCCTTGGAACCGTGGAAACCGAAGGAAAACGTCCTTTAATCAAGTTAATCAGCAAATTAGGTACATATTATGTCTGCCATAGTGATCGCTAAAATTCAAGAACTTTCCCATCAACAACCCACCTCTGATAATTCCACTTCTGGCCATGCCATTAGACGAAATTGGGTTACCTTCGAAAATTCCCTTCAATTCGTTAGTACCAATAATCAAATTTTATCTCAGATTCTCAGCGTTTACTAGCTATAATTTTGTTGACCTAAATCCATTTTGAGAAAGACTAAACAAAATTACTTGTGAACTTCACAAGTTTGTTTTAATAAATTCAACTCAAAATTGCAGTTTCTCCGAAATATAAAACAAAGGAATAGATTTTTGAGTTGGAAATTGGCAACAACGCTACAAAATTAACCTAAAATTTTCATTTATTAATTCTAATAAATCAACTTTACAATTTATATCTACAATTTACTTGCTACAATTCAACTCATTGAGGTTTATGTTTGATTTATAAAATAGTAATAATAATAAAAGAAACGAGAGGAGCAGTAATAATGTTTGTACATTGTGAGATGCATGAATCTACTTCACAGCACAGAAAGGACGACAAATGATTCTTGAAATTTTGGAAATATGCAAACAAAACATGGGTCACAAAGACCCATTGGAAATTTGGAGGGATTCTCTGGCAATAATCGACTTACTTTTTCCTTCATTCTCCACTTTGCGAATCAAAAGCTTTACTTTGGTCGTTACTGATCATTTTGCTATGCCTATCCCTACTGTGATGGCCTGTCAGATGCATTTAGGCATTTTGCCATCTCATGGCCAAATTTCAGGTGTGTCAGCAAGTGCTGATATATAAAAAAATATTATCATTTAACCTTTTCACTGATTGAAATAATTTTTAGTTTTTGTATCAGCTTTTTAACAACAATACAACTTACGTACTTGTGTCTGATACATAACGATGAATAAAAGAGGTACAATGAAATGGAAAAAATAAAGGTAGAGTAGGTAGGGATATGAATTAATTAGACAGCCACTAGGCCTCCTGCATCTTGGCCGGAGTAGACCTATTGTGCTTCTCAATTGTTTAGGCAATAAGCAAAGCTGATATTCATTTTTAGCAACCTTCCCCCACCAAAAAAATAAATTAAAAAAAATATTGACTCATAGCTGATTTTGACATATAAGAGTTTAACGACAGTCAATGATCTAATCTTCTAAGGAGAAGGATAGAGTCAACTGCACTGAACTAAGGAACTAGGAAAGTACAATAAGACAGAAATCTGAAGTGCATAGAGGTGAAAGTCTCTGCGCTTTTTTCTCCATTCGACTTATAAAATTACATAAAACTTATGAATCCACTGATTTGCAAACCTAAACTTCTGCATTAAAATTTGTAGTACTAAACTGTTGTTACTGTTACATTTTATTTATTCATTTTTAGGTGGATGGAATGTATTAAAAGACTTTTTTATACACAGCTGGGATCACAAGAAAGCCCTGAAAACGCTTCACTCTAAATACAATGTACAGCCATTTTTCAAGATAGATATAGTACCAGATCCACAAAATCCTATTGAGGGTATAATTCAGGTATTATTTTATTTTTAATATCTATTTGAGATTTAACAGCAATGAAAATTAAATTTTTCTAATGGTATAAATTCACAGATATCTCCAGGTAATTTGGGTCTACCTGACAAGAGTTACTACGATCGGCATTCAGAAGACAAAGTACAACATTATCAATATGAAAAAAAATTAAGAATTTTATTACATAAGTATTGACTTTTTTCAGATTGTTATGGCATACAAAACATTTTTAAGAGACATAGCGATCACACTTGGTGCTACAAGTGACGATGCATCGTTTTTCAGCAACAATATGTTCGGTTTTGAAAAACGGCTCGCCGAACGTTTTCCATCTAGGCTGCCTGAAAGGCAAGCGCATTACAGGGCGACAATAGGCAAACTTGAAGATATCGCACAATCGGTATTATGTCAATTTACATTGAACTTTAATTTAATTTTAACAATGTGAAATTTTTCATTAGGTGCCGATATTTGATGTATTAATATCGATGTTTCCTGAAGCGAGACTAAATAAAAAATCAGAAGTTGTAGTCATAGCCTCTGATTACCTGGTAAATGTTTCACTGATATTTGCCAGTACAGACAGAAGGTATATTTTTGTTTATTGTATAAAAAGCTAAATAAAAATTATTAACACTTTTTCTTATAGTTTAATGAATGACTTTATGATGCTGAAATTTGCTGTTGGCTACCTTGCATATTTGTCTAAGCCAATCAGAAATATTCTTAAGGAGTTTAATCAACAGCTTTATGGTAAGAAGATGCACTTAATATGCACTGTTGTCTTGTGTCCTCAATTCCCCCCCTACTTGGGTAGTCTATGTTTATTTTATTTATTTATTTTTTTTAAATCTACGCTCCAATGTTCCTCATTCAGGTCTTGCCTGAAGGTAAAATAATATTCTTTGAAAATTTTGAATTTACCTTTGGCTACTCCAGTCCCCAAATGGTGGTTTAAAAAGATGTAAAAAAAGTCCATGTAATTTTTTTTTCCGTAGTTGTGGGTTTGAGTCCTGCTCGTGGCACTAATTTTTCAACACAATCATACTTTGCATAAACAATAATAAAACAATTAAAATTAAATTTAAGTTTTTCATGCTGAATGGGTTTAGTTAATTTACCCTATTTTGGAAACTAGGACCCTTTTACTTGTTACTTCACTTTTTCTTGACTTCACTTTTATATAATCCTTATCATTTTTTATTATAATTCATAACTTATTTATCGATTCACTCATACTTTATGTGTTTGTTTTAATAAAAAAAGTTTTATGCTAAATTTAACTAGCAAAGATTTACAATAATTACTTGCAAAAAGAATATATATGATATGAAAGCGTTTTTTACAAATGCTTTTTTTATTATAATTTCTTTTACAATGTAATAGAAAATTAATGTATAGTGAATCAACATTTCAATTAATACAACGGAATTTTCTTTGTTGTTATCGTCATTTGTATACTGAATTTTCATTTCCTTTGTTCAATAAAATGCATCTCTCCACTAATTGAGACGTTTTCTGCAAGAAATGAGTTTTCATGGTATAAAAAAAGTGGCACTTATATTCATTTTATCCAGTAGCACATTTAATAGCAGCATCTCTTTTTTATTAAGATTCTGTAAAATTTCAGAAATATGTTTTTTCTAATTTTTTCTACAATTTGTTTTAAGTTATATACAATAAGGCAATATTTTAAGCTGATATTTTTATTAATTCTGAACCAAAGCATACTTGTAATATAATGTAAAAAAAAAAAAAAAAAAAAAAAGAGATATGGCATTTTTTCTTGCATGGGTAAATAGGACCAACTAAAATATACATATATATATGCAATGACAGCAGTACGAGCATTAAAGAATAAAAATAAATGAGAATTTATGTTATATTTATAATTAATAGGTATAAAGGAGTTGAAACCTAGATGGGAGATGTGTGTTGAAACACTTCAAAAGTTTGTTGGATTCGGTCTAGAGGCAATGTTTGAAAAGTCTGATCCTGATGTTACAAAAAAAGTAACTGTTGTAAGTAGATTTTTGGTTTTAAAACTATGATGTTTTCTTATGATTCTTAACATTTATGTGCATTATTAGGTAAATGATATATTCCAACAAATTAGATCCACAATAAAAGAAGCGATTGAAAATTCTAACAACTTGCCGGCCCATATTAAAGATCATTTCTTAGATAAAGTATGATTTATAATGTAATTTTATGTTTATGTTATATATGTATTCAATAAATTTTTCTTTAGCTGAACAACATTAAGATCCAAGTTGGCTTAGATCCATCAATGAGACATAAAGACTACTACAAGGTCTATTACTCCGAACTGGTCTCAGTGAAAGATGATTTCTTTCAAAATGTTTTGTACGGGGTGAGCTTCTTGTTGAAAAAACAACAAGAACGCCTTTCCAACCTTGCAGATGAACACAAGTACATGAATTTAATGGTTTTGACTATTGTTCCTACATAAATTAATAACAAATCAATTTTAGGTGGGTGGATGTAGTTTCAGATGGTCAACTGAGAGTCACGTACATACCAGAAAGTAACCAAGTAGTCGTACCCATTGCATTATTATCACCACCTTATTTCCATCCATACTATCCAATGTAAGTATTGAAGGATGATATTAATTTTTTGATGTTAGGTTATATTTTACTGTAAAAATTATTTGAATTTTGTTTTTAAAGAAATAACCTCATATCACATGGCAAAGTTCCATTTAACTCTTGTACTTTGTTTGATATATTGAGGTAATAGAATATAGACATTGTACCACTTGCTACAGCTTAAAAGTTTTTGCAGCAAGGATTAACTTGTCTAACAGTTTAAAAAAAATATATTTATATTTTTAATTAGGAGGAGTCTACAGATGTGGGATCACCACTTTTAATTAATGTTTTTTTAAAACCAAATTAGGTAAAAAAAATATAATACAAATGGTGCGATCCATATGCAAAACGAACATTTTAACATTTTAATTCGTGTAGGTATCAACTGTTCATAATTGCCTAATCTAACTATTGAAGTACATAATCTATTATGGAGGGGTATCAGTTGCCGCAATGGTTTAGGCGCTCCTTACTGAAAGGTAAAGGTCCGTCCCGGATTTAAATCCTGTGGCCATGCATTCGAACCTGACATAATTACAGATGGGTTTTTTTCAAAAACACCCTGAGGGTTCATATAACCTCGTTGTTATGTGCATATATATAATTTTTGTAAAATTTGTGTTTACATTTTTAAGAAAATTTTTTAAATTTTTGCCTCCAATTTTCTCAAGAATGTTTACATAATGTTATAATAAATTAGAAATGGTGTTAGAACCATATAAACTTCACGGAATTCCTCAAATTTGCTAAATTTTAGATTTAGCTTCTTCTTGTAAAAGGTATGAGATATGTTTCTTAAAGAAAATAGAACGAGGTAAGTCTTTTCCTCAGAAACTACCATTATCCCACTTTAGACTATTGCCTCATTACTTTTAAAGAAATTCGAGAAATTATCAATTTAAAAAATATAATAAAATAAAAAATAATAAATCACCAGGGCTAAACAATATCCAACACATTTTGATAAAAAAAATAAAAGCCATTGTATTCCTCACAAATCTGTTCAACAAATATCACATTAGGTTACTTCGCAATTCTCTGGAAAACTTCTAACGTGTTTCTGATTCTGAAGCTAGCAAAATTACGTAGTGATCCAAACAGCTACAAGCCGATTAGTTTGCTTAGCACACTAAGTGAAGTGTTCGAAAAAATACTGTTAGCTAGGGTCAATCGTCATTTGGATGTCCACCAGATTATCCAGTATGAGCAGTTTATGTTCCGGTTAGGACTATCCACTACTGCCCAATTAGTTAGTGTTGTTGATGACATAACCAACGAAAGCACACTGGTTTGGTTTTGATGGACATTGATGAGTTTAACACTGGCACACTGAAGTGACAAGCAGGCTGACAGACTACAGATTTCCCTATACCTCAGTAAAATTACTCAACCATATTTATATAATAGGAAATTTTGAATCTCTTGACTCAACCCTGACTCAAAATTGTGACACATCTGCTGGTGTCCCACAGGGATCTATTTTAGGACATGTTCTTTTTTTCTTATATTTATTAATGCCAAGACCTAACGATTGTAAACTGGCCTTGTACACTTGTAAGCTGATGACATTGCTACCCACACTTCATCCTGGAGAGTGGATACAATAACCAACATACTTACAAAGGCCATCTATTGACAGGTTCTGTAACAAATGGATGATTAAATAAATCATACAAAAACGGAGGCTATCCTTTTTACAAAGTGCACATTCACAGGTCATATTTAGGGGCGGAATAATACTAGACAGTAAGCTTTCACCACCCATGTAAGGGATAGGTTTTGCCTACTTGACTGGAAAGTCTTGGTTTTTGTAACTTTTTTGTATATATAATCTAATTTAATACAATCTTTAAAATGATTTTCTTTTATTAAAAATTAATTATNAATAATAAATTCACAACCATATATTCTTTCTCGGTTCGCAGAATCCATTGGAAAAAGCTAGAACACTTGTTTAATATTTTTTGACTTAGTATCACCAAATAAATCATTAAAATTTCCCATTAAAGCCTTTTCATGTAAGACAATTCAAATTGACAAAATAATTATTCCCTATTATTACAGGAATATTCTATATGGAGGACTGGGTACAGAAATTGGACTTGCTATAATTTTAAGCATTACCGGGCGTGGGTTGTTCCATGCAGGGGATGGAATGATGCTTCCTCCAGATCACCCATTGCACAACCGGACGCACGAATGTTTTATCCACCACCCCAGTGTCACGCCTCATTTAGAAGCTATTAAATATACCTATATGGTGTGTAATATGTGTACTTTTGACATTTATCTTATTCTAATTCTAATTTTATTTTAAGAAAGACAGTTCATACTTCATATTGTTTCAGGCTCTGAGAAATACTCTGGCAAGGATGAAACATGTTCACCAACCAGGGATGGAAAATTTAGAGGACAGCGATATTTTCTTTCTGTCTTATGCTCAGGTAATTTATTTAGCTAATCAGTAAAATGAATAAGAAAATACTCAAAGACAGAAAATGTGTTTTTCTTGAATTAACAAGTATTTTATTTTAGTCTATCTGCACAATGAAAACTCAAGAACAAGCCGATGTTGATTTTAGAGCGCAACACAAATTCGGTGACATTCGCCTGTAAGTTTATTCATCTTTGTCTTTTTTTTTTTTACAATGGTAATTAATTAATAATGATTAATCCATATATTTTTAGGTTAGACTTGCTGATGACAAAATCGAAGGAATACTCCAATACATTTTCTTGTGATAGAGTACTGCGGAGAGACAGTTGTGATACTCTTATTTGATTGTGTGACTGCCCTTATCCTACTACTGAAATAAAAGTCCATCCAAAATGTCTTAACCCTTTTGATTATCTATTTATCTAAAAATACCATTTTTTCTTCATTTTACATTACTTTTTGTTGTGTAGTATATTTTGCTCTATATCCTTACTCTGAATGAGTTTTTCACCATTATTTAATTGTTAAAGTCATGTGATAAAAATATTTGTTTTTCTTCCTGTAGATTTTTTATAAAATTTCATTTTAAGGTTGTGTAAATTTTATTTTAGATTTAAGCCTACTTTATATTTGGTATAATTATGTTAAAATTTAAAAAAAAATCTCCATTTAGGATTACTTGCAGTTGGATCATCCAAGGATTCCTTATCCAATTTTCAAGTGCCATAATCCTAAAAATATATCTATTAACTTATTCTTGTATATTATAAAATATTTATATGGATTGATGTTGTTTTAAATAAAATGTGATTTAATGAATGTTCAGTTTCAGTATCTATATTAAAAACAATCTTTCTGGATACTTGAGATTAGTTTGTTTTTAGGCTTAGAATGCTTCCTCTTTTCAATTCTTTTTATTTTATATTCCTACTTTTGCTTAAGTTGAATTGCTTTTGGGTTGCTGTTCATTTGACAACTGTGTTCCTCATAATTATCATGTTTCTATAAACCATGACTATACATAAATAAATATAAAATACTCTCTTTCCATGACATTTGTGTAGTGTTGACTGTTTTAAGATTGTAAGATAAACACTCTAATATAATTGTGACCTTAATATTTTTATCAAATGTATAAATGTTTCCTCACTTTGAATGTATATTTTGAATAATGTGGTTCAGAATAAAAACGGAAATATATGGAATATTGGTTTTCATTTACTTCTGCCCTTATATTTTCCTATTTCACAATGATTTTAAAACAAAAATTTCATTCAAATATTCACACTTCATATGTTGAACTGTAGATATATAACCTAACAATTATCCTATGCTTAATCCAAATCATTTCTAAAATAATCTAATTCAACTGGTCCAGTGTATAGAATTAAAACTTGGAATTAATAGTATACAATACTAAAAATCTAATTATTTTATTTAGCTAGGAAATAATAGTTCGTAAAGAACTACTGAATATATCTATTTGTGGGAACTTCTAAATAAGGTTATGAACTATTTTATGGAGTCAGTTAATATTAGAAGGAAGAAAGTCTTTGATTATGGATTGTAACTTCGATATTTAGGTGAGAAGTGATAAACGGAATTGATTCTATTATTGATTAATTGTTAAATAAACAGAAAATCAAAATAAACAAGAGATGAAGGTGAGTAGTAGATAAGGAAGGAATATTATGTGAATTACAAGGAATTTTTAATTTGAAGGAGATGAATTTGAACCATTTATTTGAACTTGTCATTAAGAATATTTTTCACAGAAAAGAAAATTCAAAATTAGAATGGAAAAACAAGGGAGCAGTAGAGTTCTTTAAAGGTTTTTACTGAAATTATAAGCATTATGAGATGAAGCCTAGCAACTTAAGATTTCTTTACTACTATGTGTAGTGAAAAGGACATATTGGGCTGAAAAACGTCTCCTCAATCTTTAATTATAATTGATGTATAAAACAATGTATCAATATTATAAGAACAGAATTGTTTTAGAGCCTCGGTAGAAAGACATTACATAGGTTTTTAAACTATTTATAGTCAAACTTATATAACCTTTTGTTTCAAGTGTTAGTTGTATCGACCACAATTTAACTGAAGCATATTCTGGATCTTGATATGGTCTGGATGAAGAAAAACCTTCAACTGCTAAGCTTTTGACCTGCCGTCCTTGGTAATAATGTTGAAACTCAGTTAGTCTTTGAAGAAAGTTGGAACTACCTAATAAAACCTTAATTATGACAATGTGTAGGTATATTTAAGATTGTTTTGCCCGTGATGATGACTTTAAAATATGTGGAATTGCATTTGTTTCTTCAACTAGATCATACCAAGCTCCAGTATATAATGTTTTTACTGTTTAATGTAACTCTGTTTTCAAATATTTTCAAAATTGTATATCTAATTGAATATTACTTCAGTTTAAAATATTATGAACTCTAGTTGTAAAAAGAATTATTTAAACAAATAAATAAATAATTATTCAATAAATAAATTATATACATTAAAAAGTCATATACATAAGACAAAATCTTTTAACTTAGAATATCTACATTAGGTTAAATGGTATTTATTATTTATCAAACTCGTTTTATTATAATTAAATGTTTTTTAAAGGCAAAAATTATCATATCATGCATGCTGAATGGCCCATAGTGATTGAAGGCCATTTAATAATATAGAAAAATAGCATAAAAACAGGGAAAAATTGTATGTTTTGTTTAAGATGATGTTGTTGGCTACCCTAGCTTATAACAGTATACTGTATGCTGTAATTGTGGTCTTTCTCTTTTATGATAACGTTCTAATAACATAAAATATTTGAAAGCGTTGTTTTTAGTTAAAGATGCTGTCCTCTTTGGTTATAGAACACCATTCCAAGCAAATGGTGAGAAAAGAAATACAAGGTAATAAAATCTTTCCGATTACTTTTTAACATTCTCCTTTTTGGATACCTTTGTTGGTTTATTTTCTTTATATTTAAGTTAAATTCAATTTGTTTGTATTGACCAGAGGAGAAAAGGAAAGAAGCACTTGCAGCAGCAAATGATCTAACGCAAGCTCTTGTCGACCATTTGAACGTTGGGTAATTGTGTTAAATATAATTCCTTTTATAAACGGACTAAATATCTATGATCAATAGCGTCGCTCAGGCGTATCTGAACCAAAAGCGGTTGGACTCGGAGGCCAAACACCTGCACCAGAATGCGGCCAAGTTTGCTGCGAATACTCAACAATGGTTGAGCCTTGTAGAAGGCTTCAGCAGTGCCCTTAAAGAGCTTGGCGACGTCGAAAACTGGGCACAGACAATTGAAAACGATATGAAAACTATAACGTGCGCATTGGAATATGCTTATAAAGGTAAATGAAATTTTCGAGATATTCATTATATCTTTAAAGCTTAAAATATTGTTTTTACAGCCAACCAGGAATTACCGTCCTGACCCGCCTTTGATAAGGAAAACGAATGAAGTTAATTTGAAACTTTTATATTATGGTATTAAATCAATAATTATAATTGAATAGTTTTGGGGATTACAGATCATAATAACAAATCAAATAATAAGCACAAAAGGTTAAAATAGTCAACTTCAGTATGTAATACTACAAATTTCATTGTGAAATAATATGACTGCACCTTTTTAAAAGAATTGTAATGTCTTGTATTCAGTTAATAAAATAATTATCTATATTTCAATTAAATCCTCATATTTGATTTCCTATCTATTATTAGCATTAATATTATACTATTTATTGTACAGTATGTTATATGTATAAATATATATTGTTTTTATATAACCAAACCATTGTTGTCAGTTTATTACAGGATATGTCAAAATATCCAGTGACTCTTGTTATCTCAGGTGGATACATAAAAGCATACCACAGTTAACGAGAACTGCAGATAAAAAGAAACACCTCAAATTTTAGGCTTTGGAGCATATTCTTCCTTCTGCATACCAACCAGTATTTTGTTGCCTATCGTCACTGTTATGTATGAACTTATGTACATAAACATTTTAATGATTTTTTTTTTCAATAAGGATGCAAATACATTATTCAATTTAATGTTAGTTTAACCACATTCCCACTCTCCTTTAGAACAAAGCTGGGGGGGACACAGATGAGTGAAAGCATGTATCACGAGATCTTCTGTATGTAAAAAAAATAAATTGTGTACTTTATCTTTCAATGATGTTGCATTTTCCATCAGAAAAACTGTTTGTAATTTGGTTGTACTGATCATTTTGTACTCTAGGTAATCTCACAAAACATGTAATAGGTGAATTAAAATTGACATGTAGGGGTTTCATTTAGTTTGATGTTTGCATGAGTATAGTCGTATGATGAAACCGATGAGGCATTAATTTTTTCTCCCTAAACAACTTCTCTGATAGAGCAGTTTGGTGTTGCAAAAAGTCAGCACTGTGGAAAAACTGCTAAGATTTTTTATTATAAACATTTTCTCCATACATTCAGCATCCCCAATTGTCATTTGCAAGGGTATGACAAAACCCCATTTGTAAGTATGTATAAACCAGGACCTTTACCTTTCAGTGATGAGTTGCTGTGTCTGTTGCAGCCACTGATGCCTCGCTATAGTTTACCTTGAAACCTCATTTGACCCTCTTTTCCTATTTACCCTCAGACTCTATTTCAACTAACAATAAGTACATAAAGTAATTGATTGTCCTTTACTGGAATCAACGGAACACCTAACTGACATCTTCTCTCATAGAAAAGAGATTCTTCATGACCAAAACCCTACTGTAGACTAATGTCATCTATTAAATCCAACCACTTGGGAAATTTACCTGGAACGGGTGCATTCTTCTTTGCAGTTTCTCATATAGAAAGATTTGAACCACAAAGGTTCTTTCTTTAATTTTGGAATTAGAAGTGAAAATAAATTATTTCACAAAGACCTGTATTGATTTTTTAAAGTAAGAGAATAAGGTTAAAGTTCAAGTTAAAAAAAGAAAGAAGAAAAAAAAGCCTCTTTGTGAGTTTGTGCACTACCGTTGGTCTATTTTTTTTTTTTTTTTTTCGCGGCCACCGACGCCCCCTTGTCTCCATTATTATCTAGAACTTGTTAAGCTTAAGGCTATCAGATACAAATTCAATTCGATGCTTACAGGATGAAATATCACTGGCATACTGTAGTGTGCAATCTGCCCTTGAACAATGGTTAGAAACCAGTTGGTGACCTAACAGCATATTGGATTTCAATGCCCACTCAGCAAGATGGGGATATGCCAGAACTAGTGCTATGGGGACATTTTGGACACCAACCCAGTTGAGGTAGTAGAAAACTAGGAACAAGGCCCACCTTTATTTCTCACAGGGGTTGTACAAATTGTCCAGATTTAATTAATTTTAGTTCATACTTTAGTGAGAAATGAGATAAAGCATTCACTGGTTGAAGCCTTCTCTTCTGTACAGCTCTGTATACAGAAATACTCACTTCTTTACATTTTGCCAAGTGTTATATGTAAGGGTGATTCCAGATACTGACCTAATTCTAGAAACTCAATTGTTTCATTGACATTTGACAAAACAATCGTTAAAGGAGGAGATATCCGATTAGCATTTGGTTTGCCTAATCTACAACTTTCATAACCTTTATTGGTAATGGCTTTTATTAAATCCCTGATCTCCCAAGATTCTTTCTTCCAGCTTGATTGAATTAATTGCTTATGCATTAAAACGAATGACATTGATCTTCCGACACTAACGAGTGGACTAAAGTCTATTTATTACTAAATTAGCAATTAAAATTAATTAATAGATGGTCTCATTTAAACAGTTTTAATAATTAAAATGTATTAAAAAGTAGATATTAAAAAATACATAAAAATTAAAAATGTACATCTCTGTCAAATACCTTAAAAAGGAAACTGGCGGCAAAGCTATTGGGCGACCTTCTGCTGCACACACTGCACTGGAGAGATGCTGTGGTTTGCTTTAGGATGGACACCAGGCACAGCCACCTATATAAGCTGATGTGTAGGAAATAAATTGTATTTTCCACAATAGTTTGTGGAATAGGTTACCTATCGTGGAAAAGATAATTTATTTCTTACCCATCATCTTATTATGGAGGTCTAAAAAATCAGGATGGACACCATAAAAAGCCTATATAAAGCATTTGTTCAGAATCAGATAGCCTATATGCCAGCTGTCCAGCCAAGGTCAGGCAAAGTTTTACATGGACACTCACCATTTAAGATGGCGTCCTTCGTCTTCTACAGTCATGCTGGCTAATCCAAGGTAAGAAAATTTCAAAGTATTCAATATACTACTGTACAGAAAATCTTTTATCAAGAACCAACCTTTTTCCAATACAAAATTATTGCAATTTTTTTAAAAATATTGTAAGTTTTTTCCACCATTGTGGTTCAATCGTTAATAAAAATACTTCAATTATGCCACGGTTTGCATACAAATGGAATAAAGGAGAAGTCGAAATGGGAAGTTTGTGGCATGGGCGATCGAAGTCACGGAAGCTCAAGTGGTTGGGGCAGCGGCATATTGAGCTGAAGGTCGTGGGTTTGCTTGTGACACTGATTTTTCATTTCACAAAAATTGTGTATTATTTTTGAGTATATGTATAATATAAGAATAACATGATAAATATAATAAAAAGTTTTTTTGGGCATTGACTTTATTGTCTTTAGCCATGCTAATAATATTTTTATTGGTCATGCAGTCACAAATTACAACCAGTTCATATAACAAAATTGACCAAAGCCTGACAAACGTTGAATTTTTCTGTACATATTAAAAATATGTAATTATAAGGTTTTTCAATTTTACATCGGTCTATCGTATGAAAAAGTCTTTCTCAACTTTTTTTAAATTAAATACATTAATTATTTAAATCATTGGTAATGTGTTTGTTCTGTCCATCAATGTATATTGAATGCTTATATTTTGCTTTTACTTTCTTTTTCTCTTTTTTAATTTTCAAATTGAAAATTGATAGTTTATTATTTTTGTATCATGCATTAATTCTGCAAATAATGCAATAATGCAAATAAACCTCCAGCAGATCGTAATGGGACATGTAAATTACTCGGTAAATAAAAATGCATACTAAACATAAAATAAAAAAAAATAGTATTGTTACTATTACTTTAACAAATTAAAAACTCACTAATATGTTCAAAATAAATTATAATTACATGTTTAAAGATTATGGGTGTATTGCATAATTGGAGCGTGTTCAATTTATGGATAGGAACTGGAAAAAGGCAAATAGTTCGTTTTGATATTTGCATTTATTTTTAGTTTACAAAGTTTATATTTAATTGATATATTGTTACCACAAGTTATTAGTTACATTTCACTACATTTTATAGAGTGATAGTATTTTTTTTAAGAATTAAAACTGAAAAACGTTGTGTATCCATTTTCATTACAGATTAAATTGAAGTAATGTAAATGGCCACCACTTTATCATAATGTCCATGAAATGATTTACAGTGGCTGCGTATTAAAAAAAAAAGTTAAAATACAGTTGGTGCAAAAACTGTCCTAATGCCTAGTTAGTTTTATCAGTATTTTTGAAAAATAGCATTAACAGATGGAAACTAGTAGTATATTATATCAAATAGTTGTATTATTATTAGTTTTTAAATAAAGTTTTACATTTAATAGGCACTTTTAAAAAAGATAGTGTAAAGTGCAAAGCTAAAATTTACAAGGAAGTGGTCACTCTTCTCGACAACGTTTTTTTTACTCCTTTCTCAGACTTTCAATACGCTTAAAGGGTTGGGTGGGCATTCACTGATCAATTTCACTGAAAGAATCTAGTATCGGGGAGGGATTCGACTAAGGCATAGAAATTGACTCTCATAAATCTTCATTAATATTATAGTTAAAGCTTTGTTTTGTTAATGATTTCTTAACAAACATTAGATATGTAGAATAACGCATGTACATTTATAATGTGGACTTTTTAAAACTTGAAATCAATTTTATGGAGGTGACTTTACCCCTTTAAATTGATTCCCCTTCACACTTCATTAAACTACAATGGAATATATATATTTAAAAAGGAAAGTTTTTTTACAATAATATTTAAGGCTAATAAAAATAGTATTGTCTTCCTGCATTTTTATTAACATTCTACTTTGATTTCACCATCCATAAGTATGCAAATATGCAAACGCAAATATTTAAAATACTGAGAGTTCACAGTATTGGTCCCACACAGTGGAGATAGCACCTTGGGTGTAAATTCTACAGTAGTGTATTTCACTGACAAGTTAAGTGAATTTAAAGTAATTGTAAATATTTACCACATAAGTTATGAATCTGTAAGAAGAACAAATTATAATTTGTGTTTGTGAAAAAAAGTAAGACTATCACACAATTCCATCCTAAGATATATAAAATATTATTATAGTATAAAGACAAATCAGGGAAAATCGCATTAATTTTTTATTTATTTATAGTAGTTTGGAAGCCTTTTTTTAACATGTAAACGTTGAATTTAAAATGCAAATCTGTACAATTACCTAGTTTTTCATTTTTGATCAATTCAATTTTATCAATTGAGTATTTAACATGACGAAAATATCATTAATCCCTCCCCTTTTCAAGATTTCTTTTGTGCTGCATTTTAGGAAGAAGAGCGCGCATAGATTAGAAAATGTTTGGTTATTATTTCCATTGTATAAAATTACATAAATTGTTTGTAAGTATTAATTTTTTTTCATTCAAATCAGAGGATTGAGTAGAAATACAACTATCAATATGAAGATCAATATGAATTGGTCTTTAAAATATCCTTTAGTAGTATTTTTGAATAAGTGAAAAATGACTACCCTGCTAGTCCATTAATGGTCCTAACTAACTTTTTCAGATTAATCCCTTAGTCTGTTTTGGTCTTTATTAAGTAGAAAAAAGAGTGAGTATTAATTCCAGAGATTACCATTACCTATCACATGATCTCAAGTTGGAAACACAAAAAATTGTCATACGTATTGCTAGGGATGTGTTGTTAATATTGATTATTTCTTAAAATATAAAGTAATAAAATAGCTAGTTAAATCACACATTTTTTACAGACAGCAGTTACCATTAATATTCACATAAATTAGGCACAATTATTTAAAATAGAGTAATTAGAGTTTAATTTACATAACAACCTTGATATTCAAGTATTAACAGTATACTAGCTTTATGATTAAAGAAATAGGGAAGTTTTTTAAAATTTCTTTTCACAATATATGTAATTTTCTTGAAAAGCAATATGAAAATGAAAACTTTTTAAGTTCTTGGAACTGACACATTAATGACTGATGAACTACCCGTGTACTATTTTGAAAGTTTGTAAACAGTAATTTTTTAAAATTGTTTAAAGATAATTTTCATAGAAACTTTATTTTTTCTACTATTTTGTTTTCTAGTCTTAGTTGTATATTCGATTTGATAATTTGAGTAACAATACGCTAAAAGTGAATTAAAAAACGTGCTACCACTTTGGTCACTAAACTAAACAATTTTCTCCTTTATTTATAATAATTCCACGTTTTGCTTTATAAGAAATTGACTGTATTTTTCTTAAATTTTTAAAATATTCTTTTTGTCAGGTTTCACATTCGTTGTTCCCCCTAAAATCTCACCAGCTGTGTCGTTCATTTGTACAAAGAGAAAATTATATACAATTCTGAAATCGAGGGGAGAGAACACTTGGGAAGTAAGATAAAACATATAAAATTTCAATTTAACGTTTATATTCTTGGATCCCTGCCGAAACACTTGAGGTTAGCGATTGGTAGCGATGCAGGCAAATGATCAGCGCTCTTTGACTTGCTGGCCGTCAGTTGATGAGCCGATGAAAAGAGCGGTTCTGTCTGTTCGCTTCTCAATCCTGCTGGTTCAATGTAGACGGCTGAGTTTGTTCGGGATCTTGTGGCAAGGAGTCTTCTTGAGCTTCCAAGCCAATCGTCTGGCACTCGAGCCAGCTGTCGCTGTAATCAAATCAATCGTTTAGAAATGTATTAAATGATGAACGAAAATTCACATGAAGGATGAATTAGAGAACAGCAAATGTTGAACAAAAAACAAATAGCCTACTAACAGAGTTAAACATAACAATTTTCCATGTAATTTCTATGACATATGACATATTAGACGAATGATGTGCTTAACAAACGTGTACTACAAATTATGTAACAAACGTGTAGGACAAATGAATGCTAAGTTGTTGATCCATTACTTATTTCCTGATTTTACAATGGATTAATAAGATAACAATTTTCTTGTTATTATAGCGAGCCATTTGTACACATGAAAATATATGCCCTTTAATTTTACTCATTTTCTTAACATAATTTAACTTAGATATTTATTAAATCATAATTATTATCATAAAGTACCAATTACAAATATTGTGTACTTTTTAAATGAAACAATGGTTTTTATATAAATATTAGTTAAATCACATTGAACAAAATGACAGATCCTCTTTATAACTATACAATTCTATAAAGTTAACAGCCTGAATTTATTGGATCAAAAACTAGAGTAAGTGACAATATTAAGGCTGGTTTTTTTTTCATGTAAATAAATATGAAAATCTGTATGTGAGAATACATTAAGAAAACAATTGTAAATATTCCAATCAGCTTAATTCAACTTAATTTTCAAGAAGTTGGTAATTTAAATAAATTGTGCAATTTGCGATATAATTGTTTTAAAAGATAATTTATTACTTGCAGATCTGTTAAATTTAAATGTATGAACACTACAAAAAATTCTCTATGCAAATATTTACAATCTGACCTGTGAACCAATTAACTTAATGAAAATCTCTTAACCTTTTAAGGCAAGTGCAATTTAAATTGTTTAATCGATTGTAAATTTAAAAAATCTTTCGGGTAATTAACATTCTTGAACAAAGTCAAATTCTTTTTGTTGCGCAACTATTTTGTCTCTCCTGTGAAGTCTATACATTGGGTGCAGAGCAATGCAAAAGCAAGGGGATTTTAGTTCTTATGGAAGATGACAGCAGGTCATGAAAATTTGTAAGTTTGTCAGGTTCTAATGCAGAGCCGCTAAATTCGAACCTGGGACTTTACCTTACAGGTGAGCACTGTATCAATACCTAAACTGCTTGCAGCTCCTGATGTCCCCCATTAGTATTTATTAAACTAGCTATTGCGCTCTTGATTATTGTGTACAAGTATGACTCAGTGAGGAATGAGGACATTGATAATGCAATATGAATGCATAAAGTGGAAACAAGACCAGCATTGTGTGGCATTTTAAAAGAGCACTCAGAGGCTAATCTAAGGGTAAAATTGTGGGAAGAAGTGTCTGAAATTTTTCAGACTATCTGGGCCTTGGGGACTCTCTACAGAGGCAAAAACTTAGTGAAATCAGATTTTTCTGTATTGCCATAATATAGACCCTTGAGGGGTCATGAAGCATTTTGCAAAATAGTACAGTGACAGTGAATGTAGCCTGAGTTTGAATCACCAGAATGTGCAGTGGACAAAATTCATGCTATTTCTTCTGCCTACATCAAGCCTTTTTCATTATTTGAGGCTGACATCTGCCTATTGTTGACAAACTATTGTGGGTAGTAATTTTTTTTTTGAAGGTTTGAGAGATTTTTTTATTTCAAGAAGCAAAATATGCCTCCAACCAAAAAACGTGCTGGATTGCCTTCTGGATCATTAGGCATTGTTCTGTCATTGGGTATATCCAGAAGGTTGCACTGCATCATTTACATATTCAAATGATTGGGACCGCAGTAGCCGAAGGTTAGGGCATCCGATTCATATTTTCCACACCAGCGGTCCTGGGTTCAAATCCCGACATATTCTATGTATTTTTAATTGTGAATAATATGGAGAAAGTATTGTGAAGTGGTTTTGACCCCTCATCTGATACCTAATGGTAGTTGGATGTTAAGCCCTCCAGCATGACAGGAATTACTTTACTTTTACTTTATTAAAATTATTGAGGACAGCAGAAACACCTGCGCAATTACAGAAAAAACTAGTTTTTCTGACATCAAAGCAGATTTTCTATCAATTAGCCAAGAGTTTAGTGGTATACAGTTAAGCTACTGCTGTCTCTAACAAATACTTTTTAGTAATAATCATGTGAAGGGCATGGTTGATAGGTGGCTCGCAGAAGGATCAAACTGAATCGGAGTTTGTCATACATGGTTGACAGAAGTCAATTATTTTTGAGCTAAAGCTGTGTGGCATGAAGAGAAAGGTTGTTCAATGAATCCTACTAATTAAAGGGTACCATTCCTTGACTCCATATGAGTGAGTAAGAATGCCATTTGATATGAGAATTTTGATTGAGTAGGACTGCAAATCTCTGAGCCTCCTATTTGATTTTTCGAGGAAACAAGAATATTTCTGTACATAGGTAGTTTGCATTTCAAGTAAATTTATTATTGTCTATATATAAAGTTTGGTGATGTTTTAATTATTTCATGAGAACGTATTTAAATGCATATATTGTCATTGAGGAACGTCAAGTACTCAATTAGATTAGGTATTGTATGTGTATAATTTATACATGTGTAAAAGGTGATTGAGGATTATCTAGTACTCTATCGCCCTACTTGAGGTGAAAGTTATGTAAATAAGAAAGAATTTATTTAATAATAAGATGAGTATTTAAAATTGCATGTGTTGGGGCTGAAATGACCTTGTGGTTGAGCCTAACCCCGGATCACCAAAACACCATGGGTGATTTTCACAGCTTGGCACGAGAAACAATAGGCAGGGGTTCTCCACATATGTGGCCAGAATGGAACCTATATAGATAAATTTAAAAAATAATAATCACATAGAATTGTTTAAAACTGATAATCCTGATATAAAGAAAATCAACTCTCTTCGGGAAACAGTTACTCATTATGTGTGTCCTCTTTTAAATTGAAGCAACAGGAGAGCGACAGAGACAAAACAGTTTTTCAACAAAAAAGTTGGTTATGCATGTCTACCCTTATCACATTTTTTATTGTTGAAATCAATAAAGGTGGATATAATTGTCTATTTTTTTCAGTCAAAGATTTATTTAACCAAGGGTTTTTAATTAAGAACACACATTTGGAATGGTAGAGAATTTTTGTTAGATTACCTTAAATTTTTTAAAATTTATTTGACACTATTTCACAGTTCATAAAACATATTGATTAAGATATGTGCTCCTGGTTTTGTACATCGTGCTGTAAATTGCAGTGTATCGATTGCCAAAGTTAAACTGCTTTTTTGAATATATTTTGTTCTACATAAGCATCTAAATCATGCAGCACTTATGGTTTGAACATTTGTCAACCGCTGCATGCTGAAACTAAGGCCACTAAAACCACTCTAGTGCTACATAATTCCAGGATTATACAAGGTGGCTACACAAAATCCTTCCTTCTACAAACAGTTAAGTTTATAAAGCTCTGGTGAAAAATTTATCATGTGCTCTAAGCTAAGTGCTAAGCCAGAGTATCTACAATTGCTGTTCGGCCTGTCTTAGGCAGCTAAATTCTTACTTAGAGAGAGATCTTGCCGTTTTGAAAATATTCATTAGGAAGTAAGGAAGTTAGAGATTTATTTTGCCCCTAAGTCTGACCGAATAGAGGAAGGTTTGGTGTATTATCTTACGGGACTCAGGTGTCTGCCCTGTGGAGAAGAGCGAACCTGCAGTTGCAGTCTCTTGGGTGGTGTTGAGGTCTTGGAGGGGAGCTGAACACCAGGCAGCAGCTAGAACTCTGTACCCACAGTCAAAACAAAAAAGAAGTTTTTAAACTTGGCGTGCCCCCCTTTTAATTAAATTCATTTCTGTTTTGGTTTCTTCTGCAGTTGTAAATCATTTAAACAGTAGATCCATAAAATACTTCACAAAACTCAGTGAATGAAGATTATTTAGAAAATAGGTGCACTCAAGATGCTGATGCATGAAGCTGGTTTCCTGCTTTTCATTTCTTTTAATAAAAAAAAAGTATATATAAAAATACAAATATGCTAACATAATATATTTGTTTCTGCACTTTATTTATTTATTTATTTTTTTTTTTTGTGGAATGCCAGGCATTTTTTCTAGTTTAAATTTACATTGGCAGTTTATACAACTTAAAAGCTAAGAGAAATTGTAATTAAAAAGATCAAAGCTTATAGGAAAATATTGCAAGGCAACTAATACAGACCTGTGAACAGCAGAAGCCGGTAGAACCTGTTGCTTGGCAGGATGTTCCTTGATGCTGACAGCTCCCTGGTACTTTGAGCTGGGTGTCCTTGTAATCAGGCTGATATGGCAGAAGCATTCTTATTTTCCCCCACCGGTTGAAGAACAGAATTATTGCGCCTACCCATGCCAAAAGCACAAGGCACACTATTCCAATTTCAATGCCTCTCACTTCTCCCATAGTCTGAAACAACAAAACCTGCAGATTTTGGAAACAGAGTTGTTTTACGATAGTTGAAATTTTTCTAGAGTAGTCATAGTTCATTATGCTGTTAAATTCAGTGATAAATTATGAAAATTGCTTATTTTTTGATTACCTGATTGAAATTTGGCTGGCCAGGATAAGGTGGAGGTGGTTTTATAGCTTTATTCGCAGGTGGAGGCCCACCTGTGATATGAACTTCAGTAACGGGATTTGGTCCCACTAAAATAAAATTTCGATTAACAAATTACAGTTATACAAACAATCAGCAATTATGTTAGGGAAATTAAGAAATCTTAGCTAATACCAAAAGCCCTTATCATATATTTCATAAAACAACTTTTATTATTAACTTTCTTTCTTATTATTAACTGTCAATTTATTTCTGGTTTACTCACTTTGGGTACTGAACAAAATTGGCCGACTTCTGAATTTGACACCGTTTACTACTGCCGTTATCGTCAGTTGATATTGGGTGTTTTCTTTCAGATCTCGCACGACAACTGAATTCGAAGAACCTGCCACTGGCTTCACTACTCTGTAACTAAGAATATAACCCTTAATAATAGTGATAATTGAACTAATATTTGTGGAATTGAATATTAGGATTTGTTTTCTTTATTTCAATTATTCACATTTTTACTTTTGTCTGTTCTCCTATGTTTCTGAAACATGGATTTTCAGATTTTTAGGTTTAAAAGAATTTGCATTTTTTTCTTTTAAAATCATTTAGCAGACAAAAATCCTTGATGGTAATTATTTTACCATGTGCTAAAATCTGGTAAATTTATTTTTCTTCATGGGGCTTCTTTCTTCATTCTTATTAATGCAACTTCATAATAGACTTATGAAGATTTATACTCAAAATTTTATCCTTTATTTATTTTTTTGCTAGTTTTAAAACAACCAATATTTTTGTTTTAAAACTTTAAATTTATTGATGAGTTTCTCATTTTACAAAATTAACAATTTTTTGCCTCATAACTTGGAACTTTGCATTGGATTTTTAAGTCCAGAATTGGTGTATTTTAATATATTCATTGATTGCATTATTAGTGGATTTAGTGTAATTATCTTGATTTTTGTAAAAAAAAATTAATATTTTAAACATGACTTCCCAGACGTTTTGATTTTGGACTTAACACAGTTTTCACTACTTTTTAAAAGGATAGTTCCTACTCACAGTTTTCACTGGAATTACAGATATAACACCATGAAATAAATAAACTAGTATTCCATAATTGCCAAGATAGCTTGGCAAAAAATAAAAATTAAACAAATAAATAAAATGTAATATATAAAATAAATTTTATTCTAACCAAGGGTATGAACTTCACTTTAATATGTTTCATGTTAATTAGATAGTGTTTGTTATGAGATGGAAAAAAAAAATAATTGAGAGATATATGTACGTGTAAACATTGGACTTTTCCTATTAAAAAACAACTTTTCTCCATAACCTATACAATTTTCATTGAAATTGAGGTCATATCTAAATTCTAGATTACATTATCTAAATAATGAATCATCTACTGAACACTTTCATTTCAGGGACAACTCTGTAAAACTATAAAATTTAAACATTGGATGATCTTCGAAAAATTTCAAAAATTCAATACGATGTGACAAAACTTTGTAGTGATTAGTGGATATCGTTCATTTAATATGCTTTAAATTGATATTATTGGAAGGGATAGGGATAGGGATAAGAGAGGCGGCCACAAGGCCTACTACACCTCAACCTAAATAGATCTATTTTGCTCCTCTGTTAATCTTTGCCAGCGGTTCCTTGGTGTAGGATCTTGCTTGTGGTTTTTCTTGTCCTAGTTGCAAGAACCTGCACCTACATAGACCTTCGCAGAAACATAAAATGTGTCTGCGGTCTCCTCTAGCAGTATCTGCACAGTGTTTCTTCTGTCTGTACTCCTATCCAGTGCATGTGCTTTCTTACGTGGCAGTGCCCTGTCAGGAGTCCAACCAGAATCCTGGTTTAGTTGCGGTTACCTTCCAGTAGTTCTTTTGTAAGTTTTGCGGATGGTCCTTCTATGAATCTCGTGTGCCCCATACCTGTGGTATTGTCCCATCAGGTTTTGGACATTAAGGATTCATTTTAAGATGTATCCTCTTTTGTGGCAGGCTGCTAGGCTGCAGGAGGGTTCTGGGCCCATAGAGTCCATGTTGGCTCCCTTTTTGTCCAATGTGTCAACCTTTTTGTGCCTCTATGCCCCGAATGTCCAGGGACCCATGCCAGGGTCAGGTCGTTAGTGTCGCTGACTCCATGCATTTCCAAACACTCTTTGCCTTCACCTCGCATGAGGTTAAGGCCCTGAGAGCTGTCTGGCTGTCAGAGAAAATGACTATCTTTCGGGAATGTATTCCTGGCCTTTTTATTTCTCTGGCACACTGTACAATTGCTATGATTTCAGACAGGAAAACTGTGGCATACTTTCCTAGGTTTACTGTCAGTTCGGTCTTGGGGTTCATCCCAAAGACCCCAGCTCCTGTACCCTTGTCGGTTTTGGAGCTGTCAGTATACCAGTAGGAATTTGCCTTTAGTGGTGTTCCCTTGGCCTATTCTTCCCGTTCTGGTATCAGTTCTTGGTGAAGTTATACTTTGGAGTAGTGGCATACCTCAAATGGCATCTGCCTGTATCTCCTCCTTCAGTTTCCAGTGTTTATTCACATGGCCTATCCTAGCAGATGGTTGTCCATTTATGATCCTGTGGGCTGCTGCTCTGGCTTCTCCTTGGATTAAAATGTGAAGTGGTGGGAGGTTTAACAAAACTTCCAGGGCCGCAGTTGGCGTTGTGCTCATGGCACCAGTGACACTGAGACACGCTTGTCTTTGAGTGCCACTTAGCGGATGCTTTGGTTGGCGGTTTATTGCTTTGGCCTGAACAGTTTTGGTCCACCATACCACTGACCCATATGTCAACATTGGTCTTACGACACAGGTGTATAACCATAGGGTCACTATTATTGGTATATTTTTTTCGAGGAGTATGGTAGATCAAACTCCCCAAAAAGACATGTATAGGAAAATCAAGGTGTTAAGGGAATGGAAAAATTTAATCTGTATTGTTTATTATATAAGAAACTGAGTACTACAGATTAAAATCAAAATAAAGATTGACTTTTTGTAAACAAAATATAAAAATTACACAGACATGTAAAAGCTTCGCTACAAAAATTATCTTGTTTGAATAGTAATTATAAAATTATTGCTTTTTATTGTTAGTTTTTTTAGGGCTGTTTTATTATCCTTAAAATAAAAAACTATCCACTAAAGCTGGGTTAGGACTTAAAGATACCTATACAAATTCCAACCTCTTAAATTTTTATAGGTTTGTGCCAGCGAAACGAATATCAATTGGACTGAGAGGGTTCAGTAGATAACTCATTCTTTAGACGATTTAACCTATATTTTAAATACGACCTCAATTTCATTGAAAAATGTTTTTGTGATAGGCATAAGTTTTTGAAAAAATTAAAAAAATTTATCTTCACAATGGAATGAGTTAAAAAACACATTTTTGTGCTATTCTATAATAATAGTAATAATAATAATAGCTTTATGGAAAAGCCATTTTAACAATATTGGTTAATTTAAAACAATACATTTTTGCAGCCTCAAAACATATCAAGTTCAGAAACATTTGAACAAAATTATTCCGAAATCGTGAGATGCGGTCTGGTGTGATGTAGGTTTCAGAAAAACATTTTCTTTATCGTGCCAACAGAATAATTATCGATTAATGGTCACTAATAATCACCACATATTGAACAAATTAAGATTCATGAGGTTAACAGCTCGACATGCCCATTCAAGAGCTACATAGAAAAGAAATTTAGTTTTTTTAAACCTACCTAAAACATATCAACATGTATGGTCGTTTTTTAAGCATTCAGGTTTCTAGTGATATAGATTTATCACGAGTTTTAATCACTAAGGTTTTGAAAACTTATTTGAAAGTTAACCTCTAGATAATTTAAAAATTTATTTTAAATATATGTATTTTAGCTTATCTGTTTGGTATATATCTATTTTTATGCAAAGACAGTTGAGAAGAAAAATTAGTGAAACAAGCGGGATTCGAACCCACAACCCTCGGCTGAAGGCCATGTGTTCAAATTCCACTTGTGACCTCAATTTTCCTTCTCAACTCTCTTTGCATAAAAATTGAAAATAATAATTTATAATAAACAGAAAACTCATTAAATAATTATATATCTATAGGATGATGACAAGACCAGGGAACAATATTAAAGGATGGACCTTGCCATATTGGAGTATAACACCTTTAAACTTAAGTTATTAAATTCTACAGAATTCCTTTTTAAGAAGTTTTTATTCCTTACATGTTCAATATGTTCCTCAAAACTAAATTTAAAAGTTTTAAGAGGCAGCAAGGTCTTTAATGGATTTAACAGATTATAAGCTATTTTCCCAGAGTTTAAAGACAAATTTAATAGATGTAGTTTACCATTTATGTACATAGCACATATTTTAAAATTTAGGTGCAAGCCATTTACTTCACAGCAGTGTTTTAAATTATTCATTTTGTTTTGAATATTATCATAGTCATTATTAGAATTATTATTTTTGTATGTTTTAAAATCAACAACGAATAATAAATCAACTTTTTGTTGTTCTTTGATAATATATTAACATTCGTTCTTTTGTCCATTAAAAAAAAGAAAAAAAAAGAAAAAGATAAGTGCACTGAAACAATTTTTACATTTAGATGAGAATATACCTTCATTTAAAGAATTGTTGCTCTTCTCCTACTCCATATTCAGTCTACTCTCACTTTTTAAACTTTTTTCAAACAACTTTTTTTGCATCTCATAGCAAACAACTGTGCATGAGTTTGTGCTGATATGGTTTAGTTAATGCATATACTATTGCAAATAAATTATCTGATTTGAAGTATTATTATTTAAATAATACTTTTTCGTGTTAGTTTTTCAGCATTGTTTCATTCTAGGTTTACATTTTATCTTAGACACCTTACATTCTCATTAGCATACAAACTATAGAACAAACTAGTTATAAATTTTGCATACGGTTTTAATATTACAGATTATTCTTAGAAATATTAATTAATATGACAGTTCCTCACGGAGTTGTTAATATGGGAGAGTTATAAACTTGCAAAAGATTAGCCAAACCCAGCCGAGTGATCAAGCTCCGATCAGTTTAACACGAGTTCACCAACAACACTTTTTAAATATTTGTTCAAACTTTATAGACTTTGTCAGGAGGACGTGCGAAGCGAAGGTTTTACTAGTTACAGACGAATAGGTGGCTATTTCGAATTAAGCCGGGTTTATATTTTATATTGCCGTGTAGACGGTTTCCTAATTGCTTACGGGGAAACAAGCAAGATATTGCGCTTTAATCCATGTAAAAGCTCTCGTCTTAGCTTTCAGTGTAATTTGTAATATGTACCCTCCCCCAGTCAAAACGTGAACTCGACGTCCCCCGAGTATACCGGAAAATGAATCCTTTAATATGGTAAAACGACGAAATCGAATGACATTTCTTTAAGAAATAATATAGTAATCTGACACTGATGATTTTGAGATTATCTGAAGGAAAATGTACAGTCCCTTTTTAATATTATTTTCAAAAGAAATTTGATATGTCAAATAAGGTTTCAAATGTGAAACGTATCTGCTCTGTTGTCTGTTTTCAAAATAGTGGGATTATTAATGATAAATGCGTATGCTTTCTATATTAGCTGTGTTTTCATATGTGCATTTATCCCGTTTACCCTTGGTGACATGTTAGTGCTTATAAAAGTCGCCTAGAATAAATAGCTGAGTCAGAATAGTGAGTAATGATCGAACTATTGACGAAACTACTCTTTATTCATTCTACTTGACTTACAAGCCGTACAAGAGTACAGTAATGTGAAATGCCGAAACGCGGTTGATTTATTGGTTTGTCCGGAAAATAATGCAGGTTTTTGGTTATAAAATAAAAACGATTAAATAAGTGATTGTAAACATTTTTTAAACTAATTAAAATACCTCCATCACTCTCAATACTCTTATCCCAACGTGATGGCAACTTCTCTCTATCCTCCGAATAGAATTTTGAGTCTTTATTATTAACAAATTCTGTAAACGCATTTTCTAACGACTTTTGATCAATAAATTTTTCATGTTTTTCCCTTTTTTTTAAGTTTGTCATGGAAAACGTTGTCCGGACCTTTTTTAAAAAAGATAGTTCCTACTCACAGCAAGTTGTTTTCCAACGTCCGGATTTCGAGCCCTTAGCTCATCATCAGGTTGAAGGATTTTTACAACCACGTCTCTCGATATGAATTGCAAAAGTCTTTTGAAAAAGAAAAAGAAAAAAGACTTTTGCAATTCATGTCGAGAGACGTGGTTATAGAAATCCTTCAACCTGATGATGAGCTAACAAAAACTCTACAACAACTTACTGTGAGTAGGAACTTTTTATAAAAGGATTGAACACCGCACTCACTCCATCATTCATCATTTCTACGTTGTCCAGATGTCTGAAAAGATGTTAGTCGGTTGGCGAGAGATCTTAGGAATAGAGAGGGTAAGGCCCAAAGTTTTCGTGTTGTAAAATGTGAGACATGGGGCCGAGCGTTGTGTAACAGAATCGGCCTTTTCCGATAGGCCAAAGTCGGCTTCAATAATGCAAATTTCTGGTGCATTGCTTCAATCTGAGAGTAATACATTTCGGCATTGATTGTTTAGCCAGGATTAAAGAAGCTGTAGTAAATCAGCTCAGTTGAAGCTCACCAAAAATTCACCATCACCATTTTTTTATGAGTTGGGGCTTTGGAAAAAGTGGTACTGCTTCTCCTTCGTCGAGCTGTCCAGAACGTCTGCTGATATTGGAGAGAATCCACTTTTCATATCAAGTAACAATTCTACCCAGAAAAGGTTCGTTTGGTTTTGGTAAAGAAGTGGTGCGCAAACTTCATAACGATGATTTTTTTGGAGGTGGTTAATGCGTACAAATCTAACTTTCAAGTTTTTCACCTTTCCAATTGCCTTAAGGTTGTCAGCAACGGTCGATTTGCTAACTGAAAGATTTTCTACATATTGTGGAAGAGTTGTTCTGGGAATTTCTTCTACCAAAGCTCGCCGAACATTATCATCTAGAGAAGAAATCCTTCCATGACCTTCTTTGTCTTCAAGGCTAGAGTCTTCTCGAAATTTTTAGACCATGTCTGAACGGTGCTCTCATTCGCACTGCCATCGCGTCGGACTTCATTTATGTTTCTGGCCGTTTGGGCACCGTTCTGACCGATTTTAAATTCAAAAAACGAAATTATGCGAAAATCACGCGTTGACATCTCAGTAAAGAGATTCACAAGCAACGAAATGTTACTGAGGTAAACAAACTTTTTTGCTTGGAAGAGGATTAAAAAGTGTTGATATTCGTACAAAAGAAAAATCTATCAAACCTAAACAGTTCATTATAAAGAGGAGTAATTAAAAAATATATGAAAACTAGCATTATTTCCCAGACCACCCAGTAGAAGATTAAGAAAGCGGGAGGTGCATTGTTTATCCCTACGGTGTGTCAAAAAATACACCACCATGTATACACTACATGACATGGAAAAACGTAAACAAGTATATTTATATTTTATTAAAAAGTAACTTATATTATATTAAAAAGCACAATTATTATTAGATCTCCTTTGAGCAAAAAAGTAGTGAATGAAAATCTACCTTGATGTGACATAAGCAGTCAACCCGTGAGGCACAAGGTGTATAATTTGAAGCATGTTCTTAGAAATGGACAAATTGAAAGAAAGTCCAAAGAAATGGAAAAATCCTCTAATTAATGTAATCTATGGGTCTGACAAGGTTCAGATTACTCCGACTACTGCTCTTTGGCCAGTGTGTGGACCAATCTTCTACATCCTTTATACCGCAATAACTACACTTACTACTTTTCTTGCATCCTTTGCGGATGACACATCAGTACTCCTCCGACCACGATCTTACACTTGTTTCGGAAGATCTGCATAGATATCGTATGTTTAGTAGATTGGTGTAGGCAATCGAAAATGAAGATAAATGAAAGCAAGTACGTCCATGTCACGTTTAAACTGTAAAACAAATCTCTCTTACAATCCAATACAAAAATTTTCTTATCCCCAAATCAGACTGAGTTCGAGACCTTGGCCTCCACCTGGACTCACGATTAACATGGCATCAGCATATTAAACCTTCCAGTATTTAACGTGTTCATTCCAATCTAAAGTTCTTATATCAATTAAAAATGCTTCGTGTTATATCTGCAATGCAACTCTCCACAATGACCTTAAAATCACATTTCTCCAAAATGTAAATACATTCTACAATAACCCCAATAGTCTTGGCCAAACCTTGTCAAACACATACTATTTCTAACATCTTATAAGGCGTGATAAACAAGTGAAGTGAACTAAAATGGGAGAAAAACACCAATGCAATTGCTACAATATCAGGCCAAGCTTTAGACCTATTTTAAGGTCAACAGGGCAAAACAATTTTAAAGACATCTACAAATTGGCAAAATTAAGTTTTTATAGATGGTTTCAAATTTTTTTGAAGATTGTCAGTCCTTGGCAATGTGAGGTCTGAGCCTATCCTCAAAGAAATCTGAAACCATCTATTAAAAACGAAATTATATAGACATCTTTAGGATTGTTTTGCCCTAATGATGACCTTAAAATAAATCGAAATTGGCAGATAACAATTACATTTGTTTTTCATCCAGAACATATAAAACGTGGTCGATACATCTAACACTAACAAAATGGGAGAATGATATTGATTATTTGCTCCCTTCAATGCAAACCAGTATGTAAAAATTGTAACTATACATTTATCTCTAATTAACCTTTAAAGAATTCATTAAAATAAAAAAATATAAAGTTTTTATAAAAAATTACAGGTAATAATAAAATATTTATAAACATAAAACAGAACTTATCAGGTTAATTGTTCATGAGACATGTTATAACATTTGATCTAAAGCATCTAAACATCTAAATCTAAAGCGCCAAAGTACAACAATTTTGTCTAATGCTTTATTTCCTTATATGGAACATTAAATTTTTTAAACAATTTCTAATTGAATTATTGAACTGAAACTGAAAAAAAGGTCAACTCAATTTTGAATTTTTTTTTCTTATTCGATACTAAGTTCAATAATTCACTTAGATGTCAAATTTATTATTTATTATTAAATTTTTAATTAAAAACATATTTTTTTTTAAATGTTTCAAATATTTAAGACTTAAAAACCTATTGTCAGTTTTTTTGGGTAGATTAAACGTTTTCTAATTTCGTTTTTTTTAAAGGAAGTTTTTTTGACATCTAGAGATTTCATAGAGTTTACGTGCCCAAAAAATGTGTAATTTTAATGAAGCTTCTTTTCTACTAATCGTCTATGTTTAATGGATAATACATTAATAGAAAAAAAACGGATTGTCTACCTGTACGAAGGTTTCATCTGCCACGAATACCTGGACATAAATATTTACATAAAAATTTGAAATTAACAAAAACAACTAATACCTATTATTTATAAACATGCAATTTGTTCATGGCTGGACTGACTGGAGGTAAAGCGTATTTGTACAAAGCGTTTCTATTTACAATTATACATGTATACTTCTGTATCGGCGGGTTAATTATCAAAACTCAAATCGAATGTTCACTGATAAATGTCGGCTCAATTCAAATAAGAATAACAATTGGTTGAAAAAAATCAATCAGTCACGTAGTTACAACCGTACTTTCAACTTACTTTACCTTTACCTATTGACGTAAGAAAGTGAACAAAATATATATCACTAATTAATAAATTTATCTTTTAACTTAAAGTTGGAAAAATCTGTCGAATTGTGTATCTACAGAACTAATTAACCTGGTGGCATATAGCTTGTAGTTAAGTATAGAACTTTTTTAAAATCAAAGGTCACCGTAAATACCAAGATAAATATCAGGGAATTATTTCTTCTTGTTTTATTTCTTAATACTTAGCTTTCAGGGTTTAAATCAATATTTTAAAATTTAAAGTTTAAATTAATATTTTTCCTAAATTTTCAAAACTTTAAAGAATTCATTAAAATAAAAAATTATAAAGTTTTTATAAAACTATATTATTTAATGGTCAAACAAATGTTCCAAATTTATTTTTGACTTTTATTGTAGAAACGTTTAAAATAATTTAATTCTTCATTTTTTTATAAGTTTAAGACATTAATATTCAATTTTAGTTGAATGAAAAACCGGGCATAGGTTGGATTAAAAAATAAAACTGTTGGTTTTTTAAAATTCTCGTGTTGTTGTGAAAATTATCAAACATGGCCATGCTATGTTAACAAAAATGAGGCGTATCATGCACTACTTGAAACGTGGGTGAACTTTTTGTATGTTTAACAGATTAGGAGAGTGATATGTATATCGTTTTATACAAGATTTACACTTGACAAAAAGTGAAATCAAATCATATAAAAAATATTTTAGAACAGTAAATGTCCCTTAATCCTACATGCCTCAATGTTGTCTTAGATAAAGATTAGCAATTTTGTTAAAAGATAAGCGAGAAATCCTTAAGTATAATGATAAAGTGTTTAACTTGGTGCCAAATAAATGAGTGTTGCTAATACACTAGTAGAAACTCAACAAGAACTACACTGCCCCTCCTAAATTCATGGGATTTAATTATATTTATATTTAATTATATTTATTAATTATCAGAAAATAATACATTTGAAATATTTTTTATTAATGTTTTATTAATAAAAAATATTAATTTTAATGATACGTTAAAACTATCTCGAAAGATAAAACATGTCTTTTTATGCAAAAGTCGTTTTTTAATAATGGTTCCTTTATAGCCAGTACATACCAATACATATTATATATTCACGGTTGGCACACGTTAAGAGAAACCAGCCAACGTAGACACACGATATGACACACCACGAGGAGGTCCCAGGTCATCGTCGTTTAAGGCGAAGTGACTGGTTCTCACGATGGAAAAGTGTCGTGAGGGGTCGAGCAATAGGGCTAGATGGATCGAGAGGTTGGTGTGAAACTTAAAATCGGGAACGGATAAATGAATGGACAAAAGGAATGTTGAGGTCGTCTTGGTTAGTGCGGTTAATAACGTAGTAAGTAGCTTTGACGATTTGTCAGATGGTATTTGACTGATTTCCCCCTTTGTCTAATCTCTTCTAAGAGATTTCCTGGACGATATTTGTTTCTTTAATGAAGTAAAGTCCAAGGTACTATAATCTTTTCCTAGCTATTGCAGGGCAGTAGTGTTGGTTATGCTCTGTTGTCGCTGTCTCGTCTAGAAATAGTCGACATTTGTCATCTGTTGATAGTCCCATTTTTGCCTTTTACTTTACATTTTTTACTTGCCTCAAGCCTGGCTTTCCCAGTATTTTTTAAAATTCAATTTATTTATTAAAACTGGTCTTATGAAACCAACCATTAATTTTACAATGATACATATAGAATAAGTAAATGTTCACATTCTTATAAACCCATTGGTTCAACAGATTTACACTTCACCATTCACAAATTTTTTATCAATTAGGAGTTGTCACCTTCCTCACTACCGTGCTGGCTGACGCGAGACTGGTGTTTGGCGGCAAATATTTGTATTTCCGTCGTGACCTCAGGGATCTTATGATCCCTACCTAAGACCTTATTCCTTACGTACAGAGGTGCATTGACCGTGCTACGTAACATTTTATTTTGAAGTGTTTGTATAATCTTAATATTGCTCTGTTTGGTAACCCCATAGTAAGGGAGTGCTCTGTTTTGTATAGTAAGGTTGGAGCCGCGTCCTATCAACCTGTATAGTTGTCTATACCTTAAACCTATCTCTCTCCTTTTTGGTTCACGTGTTTTTTCCATCTCAGCTTGGCCGCTAAGGTCATTCCCAGATATTTAGCTTTATTGCTGTATGGTATACTAGTTCCATCGATTGTGGGAGACGGAACATAGACCACTTTTTGTTTGTAAAGTTTATGTGAACTGATTTATGCTGATAGCTTGATTCTCCATTTTTTAGTTTGAAGGATGCTGGTTGATGGTCGGTCCTATAGATATCACCACTGTGTCATCTGCAAACGTTGCAATTTTTACTCCAACTATTTTCGAAAAATCATTGGTGTATATCAAAGTAAAACAATGGACCTATGCTACCTTGGGGATCTTCTCGTTTGACTCTAAAATGTTTGTCAGTTAAGAAAGAACGGACAATACTGCTGTCCATACTGCTTTGGTAGCATCCCTTTTAGTTTACAGATGAGTCTTTCATGGCAGACTTGTCAACAGCTTGGAGACATTAAGGAAGATATTTTTTATTTTCAAGAGATATTTCTGTTGTTTTCTATTACCCAGAATTTGTAATGTTCTTTACTTACCCAATGTTTTTGTGGCTATAGTTTATATGTTTTGTTCTGTTTATTATATGGTTGTTCTTTTATTTATTTTTAACTAGTATGTCTGTGACTCGTTGCCTGAAATTTCCTCATGGCCAGGGACCACCTCAGCGTTAGGCTATTTGAGGATCTCAGTTTGGGAGATTTGAATACTCTGGATATTAGATGGATTGGCGGAACCCCACAGTTCTATTCCTTATGTCCAAACTGATCGCTGTTTCAAGTCAAAATAGATTTCAGACCTAAAAGTTTTTTTTGTTGCTCAAGTCTTCTGTTGAGTTGGCTCTAAATATCTGACGAGTGAATGTCGGTTAATGCATAACAATACGCAAAATAGGGGTTTTCAATGTAAATGTAGCGTTTATCTTTCCTCCTACAGTCTTGTCCTCTCGTTTTTCATTAGTCTTCGGTAAACTTAAGGTGTTTTTGGATAGGATTTGGATTAGAAGACAAAACTGAGGTCTCATCCGAGTAGGATGTATTGGGATGTATCAGAAATTATATGGGTTAAATAGGATTCTAGGATAAGGTAATAAGGAATGAGTAGGAAGCGTTTAGGTTTATAAAGGATCGGTGCCAAAACCCATCAAAAGCCTAGATCATAGCAAAGCAGCTTTTTTTATTTGATTTTGAAAGGTAATGTACTGTAAATTATAAATGAGTAAGCATAGTAAGGCGTTCGAAAAAAAAATCAGTAATATGTACACAGGTTCTTAATGTTTAACAACGTTAAACCAAACAATATCGAAGACAAAGTTGTAAAATATTTGTTTGAAAAAAGTAACTTTTGTTTTATGAAAAATGAAAACAAATTTCAAGAGAAAACCACCATCTATGATTAAGACTTTCTTAGTTAGAAATATTAATAAATTATAGTTTCTTTTGCTGGTGCATGAAGCGTAGGCTTCCCTGTTTTCAGAAACACACAAACAATAAAAAAGAAATGACCGAATATTGTTCAGATTTCGTATCTATTTTGAACGGTAATAAACACAATAAACATTCACAAAACAATAGACATTTCGGAATTAGGCTAGTTGTGAAGATCATACGTTCAAATCCATTGAACGATGATGTAGCGTGTTGATTTGTGAGATAAAGGGCATTTTGTTTATGGACAAGCAGTGGAATAAGTGTTTTACTTTTTTATATCCACTTATTAAAGATAAACGGACAATTATGATTATGACAAGACATTGTTTTCAACTGACGTTTCGTTGGAAAATAGCTGACCTTGCCTCCGTTGGCTTAAGTACGACGTCATACTTTTCCACTTTCTGCTTTCCCACACTCCATGATATTTGGACCATCGATGAATTTATATACATCAATGTTATATTTTGAGGGATTCCAACAGCAGGCATCGACCCTGAAACAAATGATTCGATTAATGATTAATGTACAAAAAATATTCAGCGTTATTGCGTCTTTAAACAATTATTTAATTATTTTTTGTCTTGTTTAAAAACTGTAATGTACAAAGCATGGTTATCTCTCTTTTTCTCTTTTTTTCACTGTATTTCAATCTCTCTCCCACTCTCTTCATTTATATGTATATAAAATAAATATGCATAATAAAACAATATTTTAATGGGTTTTTGTCGTAATCTTTATTCAAACAGATGAAAAACTGAATATTTAAGCTTATAGCAGAAGAACATTGTCCTTCAAAACTTCATTAACATGCTTGACGTGGAACGAGGTTTATAGCTTGACCTAAAAAATATTTCATTATGTGCTCAAGCTTTTTTTTATTGGTTTCCGCCCCTTTTAGCCTGAAAATACAAAAATCGACATCCATTAAAATCTGATCGCGACATTGCCATTGCAGGTGAAGGCGGTATTTGCTGTATAATCGTACCTAAAATACAATCCGTGTAACAGCGGTTGATGAAGGTTAGGAAAATTGTTTTCTGATTAAAAAAAAGTGCTCAGAAATGGTTTGTCGTTTTTATCGGTATATGGAGTAACTTAACTTTTTAAACTTTTTATTTGATAATTTTCAACACTGGATTTAAAAACAAATCCTGAAGATCATTGAGGTAATGAGCGGTGAGGGGGAAAACAAATGAAGGTCGACCCAAATAAACTTTTCCGCGGAAGCTTTCGCCGTGTATCGTGGTTGAAGCCTAAACTTGTAGCAAGGTTGTTTTCTTAAAAATTGTAAAGAATGCTTTTTATACGCGATATTTTAGCTTAATTAAAAATGACCAAACAATATAAATGCTAATAAAATAATTTTTTCATTTGGTTAAAAAACTAAACTTACTACATACATATTTTATTTTTCCGTTTAATTTAATTTAAATTTTGAATTCTTTAATTAACAAAAATTGAATAATATTTTCTTTAACCTTATTTATTTTACAATTGAATACAAAATGCAACAAATTAAAATTATGTTACAAGGATATCCAAACAATATTGTATGCACATTTACATGTCTGGGGCGATTGATTTGAATAGTCACCATACAGTGAAAGTGGCCTAATTGGACTAATAAACATAATTACGAAAAATAAAATGAAAATAATAGTATAGGGGATGATAATAGAAGTATATATTATAATAATAGGAGAGATCACCTGACCTAAAAACAGAGAACACTCACGAATTTCCGCTCCGGGGAAAAAAGACATTTCCAGTTATACATATACAATAAGTCTAGGATAGTGGTGTGTTCTTGGTAGATTGGACGTATTTTTGTCATTCTAGCGTTTTTTGAAGTGTTTTTGATGAGGTAAGTTCATTTGGCTAAGTGGTTTGACGATTGGACAAATCTGCTGGGTGTTAGTTTTTAGCTCGGATTGTGTTTGGGGCTGATTCTCAATAGAAACCGGTTTTTAGGGTTCGGTAAGGCTTATTTATTTAGTTAGTTTTTAGTTTTTTCTATTTTTCTTTTTTCTTAATAAGTTTTTCAATTTTGCAAAATTTTCCATTTGAGTGCAAATCATTTGAAAGGCTCTTTTGGCCCCAGTAGGCCGAGAAGGCTCATGAAACCGTTTGCCCCCTCGAAATAAACTCCCTCCCTGGCTTTTTCTATTATTGAGGTAAGACATTTTGTAATTTTTAGGTCAGATGGGAAAGATAATGGCGGCCTTCATTCACTGCCACCAATAAGAATATGTAGAACAATAAACAGAGACATAGGGAAAGTAGTAAACATAAAAAACGGTCGTCCTCCAAAGGAATCGGACGGAAGATTCCTGTTAGACCATTTATTCCTGCTCCCCTACGTGCTTTAAATGTTCGACTTTTTTACATACAATTTCTTCTTGTAAGAAGAAGTTTTAATGTGTGGATGTGGGCTGGAAAGTCACGAAAAGACTGTTTCTTGTCAACTTCCAGTTTGCATGAATTGTCAGGGTCCATTTACTAACTTGGCGCGTTATTGCCCATGATATAAATATGACGCACAAGTTATGGGGTTGAAAGTAAAAAATATAATATTTAAACAAGCAATGCCCGTAATTGGCTCTGGCCTTATAATAAGAAAATAATAGCACAGATTACTAAAAGCTAATCTTTTTAGCTGTTCCCCTGCTTTTTTCAGGCTAATAGTTGATAAACGAAACTCAGAAAAAAATTAACATAAAATTAACACAACCAAAAAAATAAGAAAATTAAAAAGTTTAATTACAACTAAATGATAAACAACGAAAAGGGTTAAACTAGAAATAAAACTAAAGTATCGACCAACTCGAGAACTTGAATTTTTTCCATTTCAACCTAAGCACATATCCGGTCCACCCAGGTTTGATCCCATGGGGGTGAGGGTTAACCATTTTTTGCCTAGTTGGTCAGCCTGTTCATTTCTTTCTATGCCTTCATGTCCGGAAACCAACATTAAGATAATCTTGTTTTGTTTTCCCAGACAAGTTTGGAGTTCGAAGCATACGCACTTAGTGCCTTTATGGATGTCTAGATATCTGAATGTAGCATCTTTAATTTTTTCTTTACTAATTCCTCTGCTCGGAGTTGAATTGATGGATCTGAGCTGGGAAAATTGTTGGGGTAGGTCCAAGGGACTTTGTTATGGTATAGTTTCGACCTTTTATACCTACTTCTACTTTCTGTTCCATCTGTGCACCATATTATGAAGAAACCACATAAAGAATATAAAAAATACTTTAAAAAAAAAATTTCTCTGCCTCTAGTTCGCATTGGCTAGAACCCTTGGACAGGTTTCTAATATTTTTCGACCTCGTAACATCGAAAAAAGATTCTTTCAAATTAAGATTCCATGTCCTCCCAAAAAAAGCACGATCAGGGAATACCCAGTACTTTCTGTTTATCTTTTAAACAATTACAATTACTATTCTTGCTATATTAATTTTATCTCTGACCCAAATAGCTATACTATTGTATTTCTCATTAATCAGTCTAATAATTATCACAAATATGAATTAAAAACAATTATTACTTTGACACATTAAGACATAGCATATTCAATGTAAAAATAGATATCTCGTATTTTGGTGATTTTTGGTTTCTGACTTTTTAAAAAAAGTTTTAAAGAAACTTCATATTAAGAAATGTTTGTTACTGTATTGATGAGAATAAATTGATTTCTTTCATTTTGACAATATTCGTCTCCTTCTTCTCAGCAGTTATACAATCTTGTTGGGACGAAAGTTTTTTCCTCCTCTTCAGTTCAAGCTTACAATCACACTAAATGGAGAAAAAGTGGTTAACCCAGTTTCTATTTTTAATTTTCAGGCTAAATATAGCCGAATTGTTCGATTTCTCGAAGGCAAAACAAAACCTTCAAACGAATGATATATTCGATCATCTGTTGCTTTGAGTCTATAGATTTTTTTCGGTATGATTGACGTTATTAAACCATAGCGTTGTGAATGTCCTTCAAATGGATTAAATCAAGAAAATTATCTTCTTCGACAAAAAGCAAAAATTGTGCAATTTTTAAACTTTTCATCACATAGTTTAGACCTGTTGTATGTAATATTTTTTATTAATTATTTTTAACGTTTTGTTTTTTAATTACCAGCAATTGTGGCTCCTTGTATGACTAGCAATGTTGCCCAAAGGACCATAGCTAGAGAAGCGAACTGTGAAGGTACGACGTTTTACTGTCAGCAGGGGTCTCCCTCCCCCTACGTAAATCACAACTTTGAGAGGCCTGAAACAAAAATAATATTTAAAACTCATTCAAAATGTTTAATAATTAATTTCATTATTAATTGAGAGAAATAGTAAATTAGTAGAATTTATTATTTTGATTTTTTTTGCGTAAGATTTTATTAAATCCAACACTGACAAAAAAATAGATTAGATTGATTATATAGAAGCCGGCCTCTTTACGACCTGGGCACCGCGACCAGTAATGATCGGTTGTGCAGTTCCATTTTTTTTATATCTAGAGCTCCTCGTTAAGTGTGTGGCTTTTTACCCGAGCTTTTCCAAGGCTCCCGTGTGTATCCTTCAGGCCCTGACTTTTCCTCTCCCAGTATTAGGAATCTCAGCCAACATAGGCTTTGGCAACAATAGAGAACATGTTCCGCCGTTTCTTCTTTTTGGCAATATCTGCACGGGCTTGTTTCTGCCACTCCGAGTCTATACATATGCCTCCGGAGTCTGCAGTGTCCAGTTAGCAGTCCAAATATTATTTTAATCCTAGCACGTCCTAGATTTAGTAATTTTACTGTTAGTTTCAGCGATGGTCTTTTAAAAGTTTTTTTTTCGCATACCTCTGTCCTGAGCTAAATTCTCATTGAGCGGAGGACTTATTATTAATCTATTTTCTAATGGATCCGAGTTTTTTGGTTTGGTAATCCACAAAAGGGATCAGGGCCAAAAGGTGTCCTCTTCCTTGCCTCTCGGCTCTATGTGCTCTGGCATCCAGACAAGGTACTTTTATTATTTTATTTAATTATTTTCTCCAATGTCTGACACGGCTCTAATGCAGTCCTAAACTACCCTGAACTTTATCGTCGATGAGGTGATTGCTTTCATTGCCGCCTGGCTGTCTGAGTAGTGGCAATTCTTCTATTGGTAAGCCCCAGCCTTTTTACCTCCCTGGCACAATTTGTGAAAACGGTGACATATTGTCCAAAGCTTATATGAATTCTAGTTCTTGGTCTATTTGCGTAAATGCCAGCTCTTGATCCATATTCGTTTACGAGCCAACTGTTAACCATATATGGTCGGCATTAACTGCGATACCTTTTTCCCAGTGTGCTCTACAAGGTACTTTTATGATAAGAATTTTTTTCTCAATACCGAATTTAGGGGTAATGGCATCAGTAGGCATCCCAAAGTTCTGTCTAGCTGAAGCTCCCCTCGAAGTTTTAGTTGATCCTTGTTATGTGAGTATGCTATTGGGGCCTCTCCCTGAATAAAAATGTGTAGTGGTGATAGACTCAGAACTTCCAGGGCAGCCGTAGGGATTGTTCTCATTGCCCGATGTACTGGCAAATAATAGTTGACTCTGATTCATAAAACTAAAAAAAATATATTTTATTCTATTAGGATATCACATCTAATTAAACTTTTGCTACAGGAATCTCATACATTCCTGTAGCAAAAGTTTAATTGATGGTTACATACATTCAGCATCCCCTGCATACCTAAGCCTACATATTTTGGAGGAAGGCGATAGTCGTGATTGAAGTAAATGTGTGGTGATTAGTGACCGTTAATCGATATTTATTTAGAAATCGTGAGATACGGTCTGGTGTGATGTAGGTTTCAGAAAAACATTTTCTTTATCGTGCCAACGTTTCGATCTTTATTGAGATCATCTTCAGGGCCCAAAGTGTTTGTCTTCTGTGTAATTGTGTCATTCTTGCGTGTCGAGTCGAGAGTGCACTCACTAAAGAATGACACAATTACACAGAAGACAAACACTTTGAGCTCTGAAGATGATCTCAATAAAAATCGAAACGTTGGCACGATAAAGAAAATGTTTTTCTGAAACCTACATCACAGCAGATCGCATCTCACGATTTCTAAATAAATATTGAAGTAAATATTTACGCCGGGACCGTAGAAAGAACTTATTCAATATACTATATTCGAAGGGAACACGATAAAGAAAAAAGAACAGCCCTATCTACACAGGCGAGTCTGAAAATAAATAATTCTCTTGTTTTGCAAATCTATGTCTTTATCTGTACCCGATCACAGAAAACATTGATTTTGTTGATTGATTACGATGGTATCGACGATTATTTCGATGTCGTATCTTCTTGCGTACGTTTTCCTGGCGAACCAGACATAGAACTTTTTTGCGTTATTACTGTTTCTTATCGCCTTATTTTATAAATTTGAATCAATAATTCTTGTATTAGCATAAAGACCGACAGTTGAGTGCTCATTCTTTCCCTCTATCTATCAATTTTACCTATCTACCTCTCTATCTGTCTTTATCTCTCTCTCTTTGTAGATATCCATCTCTCTGGCTTTCTTTCTCACTATATTCCTTCCTCTTCCTTTATTAATCTATCTATCTGTCTTTCTCTTTATCTCTATTTATTATCTATCTGCACTAATTTTTCCTATACTTGAATATTTACCACCCCTTTTATATCTATTTGCCAATCTATCTTTCTTCAACTCTCTCTCACCCCCTATTTCTGTATAATTTTTTTATCTTCCTTTCTCCTCTCATACCCTTTCTCTCTGTTTCTAGATTATCGCAATGTGTGCCTAATAGGGGGAAAAAGGTGAGTGAACAAGTGCCGGAGAACTGGAAATAAGTTTAAAAAAATTAAAATTAAAAGACCATTTCGTTCAAAATTAAAACATTCTTCATAAGAACTCGTTATAAAATTTAAATGTGTAGGAGAGTTAAATAAATTAATAAAATAAAAGTGGCTTTCATAATTGAAACAGGAAACTAATTTTCTGCTCCAAGCTTCTTTAGCAGAATTTACTAAACTCAAACTATGAAGATTAGGATAAATTGAAGATTAAGAAATATCTTTTTATCGTGAATCAAGAATAAATGTTTCACTCTGAATTCAGGTAAAATTGGTCATTCTGTAATAAAAATGAAAACTCTTCTGTAGCCTGTCTGTGGCATAAAGAGTTGTTAACTATTGTAGGGGTGTAGTAAAATTAAAGGGAAGCAACTCTCATCTTGTTTTAAAAACTAACTAGCTAAAGGAACGAAATACATTTTAGTATTCTCAGAAGTTGTGAAGAAAAAATTTTCATAAAACAGTTATAGTTAAATCAACAGTAAAAAATTATATGGCATAATTGAAATTGAATGTAGACAATTAATTGTGTAACTGGAAATAGTTACAATGTTAACAAATGAATAAAATTAGAAACTCATTCTAGACCCTCAATACACGTCTACATTGGCAGAAAGTACTAACATTTAGATTTGTAATCCGGTTAGAAAATTAACGAAACAGCTTTGTAAATAAATGAATACTAATTTTTATTAAACTATATATATATTTATTTAACTATATATATTAAACTATATAACATTTTACACCAGTACAATAGAAGGAATACGTCAGTATGCAACCGTACATTTTTTTACTGGCCAATGTGAATTTTATTCACAACTGCACAAACGCTATAACGCATCGTTATAATTTTTTTGTTTAATGGATAATCTTAAAGAAAAATATAGTATAGCGAAATAAAAATTTCAACTAAGTATAGCATTGTGTGGTATTTAGTGACCGTTAATGAATGTTTATTTGGAAATCGTGAGATGCGGTCTGCTGTGACGTAGGTTTGGAAAAACATTTTCTTTATCGGGCCAACATTTCGATCTTTATTGAGATCATCTTCATGGGCACTCTCAAAACGACACACAATAATGACACATCTACACGGAAAACAAACACTTTCAGCCTTGAAGATGATTCCAATAATGATCGAAACGTTGGCACGATAAAGAAATGTTTTTCTGAAACCTACATCTCACCAGACCGCATCTCACGATCTCCAAGTAATCATTAAGTATAGAAATTTTACCAAAAATATTGTTATGAAAACAATGAAGAAAACATTCAATTCAGTACGGAGTATTTCCTCCTCTTGCATCTATCTTTTATTTAAATTATTTTAATTGATTTTACGTTTGAAAAAGTTATCATATGTTTTACCTTTTCCTTTTTAAAAAGTATTTTAAGGTGAGGAATTTTCTAAGAGACACGTGGTGTTTTTCAAAAACAGGTTATTTTATTTCACATTTTTCTTCGACGTTTGGGGCTATGTTTTAGCGCATCATCAGGAAATCCTAGCAAGAAGTACAGTCAATTATTACATATTTCAACAGAAGCAATATTGATTTCATAGCTTACCTTTCTATTTTTTATTTTATGGTTAAAATTATCTGTGATGTGTTGATCTTTTGGTAATATCTTTTGGTTCTGACTGTAATAAAATAACATAAAAATGTATTAAACGAATCGGTAGACTCTAGAGTAAAATTTTAAACCTACTGATTTAAAGTAATTCTTCAAAAAATGTCGAATACAGTTGAAATTGACAGTTTAAACCATTGGGATTACGCGGTCGTACTTCCGTGACATGGTTTTACCTTTGGGTGGTTTCTTTTTTTTTTTATTTTAAGATTTTTATTTTAAATATTTATATTGCGATTGAATAGATGATATTTGTCATAAATGCTAGAGATTTTCTGAACAGTTTAAATCCAAATTGATGGGTCGAATTGGCGTTTCCAACATTACTGGTGCTACATAGTATTTGTGCATGGCGCATAATTTACATTAATGTGTGCCCGTCCGTCGTGTCATATTTTGTAAATCAATCTTTCCTAATTGATGGTATGATTGTTCTTCCGAGTAGTTTCTTCGCTTATAACTCAGGGAAACATTTTTCCGTGCTCTACAAAAAAGGGTTGTAAAAGTAAAATAATGTTATGTAAGAGGTTGATAGAAAAATTTACATTTTCTCCACTGTCCGTTATTAAAAAAGCTTTTTAGGTTCTTGGCATCAGAATAATTAATTTTATCTTGTTAACACCTTTTACCTTGATTTCTTTGTGGGCACACTTTTTAGAATAATATGCAAATGATGTAAAACCTTAGAGATCTGATCAAAAAATGCCACAGTTTGAAATAACAACAAGTAGAGAAATTTAAACTGTGTCCTTTATCAAACCATAATATCTAATTTAATTAAAATATTTCAAAGCACGTGTTCACTATTTTTTTTACAGAATCTATAATTATATTAATTTACGCAATAAGCAGATAGGTTACATGAATAAAAGACAAATATCGTGTTTAGTGTGAATGAGAGCTCACCAACTCGTCCATTTTGTTGTAAATTCTAAATGTCTAGCAGATTTTCAGATAAACGGAAGGGAGTGTTAGTGTAAATTACAGGTCGTTATTGACATTACATTATTGAGGGTAAATAACACAATTTGGGATTTGTTTTAACATATATTTGTTCTCCACTTATGGACCCCGGTTCTAAGATAAGGAGATGAGTTTAGAGGGCTCGGATTGTTTAGGACATGGTGTTAAGAGAGATCTACCGTGTATATGTTGAAATGTAACGGACCTAGGATGCTCCCTTGTTCATAGAATGGATCGGAGAGGGTTCGGTATGTAATTTAAAAGAAACGTTTAAATAGGTAAGATTTTAGGATTAGAAAGTATCCACTAGTAAGGAAATATTTGAGTTACAGCAGTAGACCATGATGACAGATGGGTTCGAACTCCAAACAAATTTCTTGAGAAGTTATAGCAGATTCTTGTCTTTCATTTGCTGCGCCGTGATAGGTCCGATGTACTGATGGGATAGATTATTTGTTTTAAGGTAATAAATTGATTCACTTTGTGTGGAAGTTATCATAGTACATGATGATTGTAGGTCTAAATTATCTTAGTTCATCATGATTATAGATTCCCATTACCATAGTACATTGTGATTATAGGTTCATATCAACAGTCTGCATGATGATTATGGGTTTTCATCATCATAGTACTTCTTTCATACAACCATAAAATTATTTTACGATACTTTTTACAAATTATTCTCATGTTTAATGGGATTCGAAACCAGAACGGTTCGAAATCACCGAGGTCCCTACAACATCATGGTATAGGATGAGTACGTTAGAACTATCCATACTACACGGATTGTTTAGTAAGGATAAAGTGTGATATTTACGTAATTGAAAATTTAGTACACTTATCATTTAATTCTTGCAGATTTTTTCTCGATTGAAACCTCTTATTTTGACCATTTTGTTTTTGTTTTTCATAAAAAACTAAAACATACACAACTATGAATCGGAACTTGATGGCATGTACTCACGTATTGTTTAACTTCACCATATACATCCGCAATATCCCTTGAACACGTTATCTGGAAAAAAGACACACTTTTATGTTCAAACAATTTCCTATTAATATATGAACATATAATATGACCTGAACGAGAGCCAGGGCGATAGGAAAATATCTGGAAATTGGGATTCAAGAACACAACTCAAATTTTTTAAATGTGAACGCTATGAATTTTACGTAATTTAAAATTTTATTCATCTGGAACAAATTTGATAAAAAACATAAATAAAATACTAATAGAGAAAAATTATAGTCGTTTTAATGGACATTATTAATTGAAATTTTATTATGACTCAGCTGTTCGTCTTTTAATTTGCAAACTTTTCTATCATGATTTAAATTGAGGAAAGTATTGAAAAATTATCTTTAAGAGGAAATGTAAACGTTGTTGAAAGATGCGTCATCTGACAATTATGGTAATATATTCTGTTCATAACCTTCTTAATGATATCATTCACCCAAGTAGGGATTACTCGATATTCTTCCATCACCCTTTACAAATAATATAATATAGCTTTGATTGAGGGTCTAATTGTCGCTGAATATTCCACCATTGACCCTCTCACACTCATTCACGCTAATAAATTATTTCACTCTTAAATCACACTAGGGTGCACAACATTATCTGAATATACATTCGATTTAGCATATACGATACAACGTACAACATCAGCATAAACAACACTGTTTCGTTCAAGAATCGGATACTCACTGGCGTGGTAAAGAACTATTTTCATATCGGGTGGTATGGCTACGCCCTCCCTATACAAAGCCAAGGTATTGCACCATTTTTTATTGCATTTACACCAAAAAATACTAAAAATTAAAAAAAAAGTTTTATTTATTATGTGCATACAAAATTATTACACAATGGAAATCTGTATTTAAACTAATAATTTTACTATATTATAGGATAATAGATGAATTAGGTATTCAAAGCATTACTAGAAATGGGTGTCCCGTAAAGTCCTATCGCTATAAATTACACTAATCTCCAGTGACCACCACCTTTATATTGAGATTGTCTATTGTTTAAATAAATCCTATTACGTCTGTTGAATAGGGCAGGATAGGACTTCTGGAGCCTCGGATTAATAAAGCGACCGCTGGTTGGAAAATGCCCAAGACCTCCTAATCGGATACTATTAATAATACGTACCTTTCTCAATACTTCCTTTTAAATACATCTACTATGTCTAACCTGAGGTATTCTCACCGCTAAACTTCGCGGTCTTAATGTTATTTTTCTTTAAACTCAAAAATTAAATAAACTCTTGTCTAAGCAAAATATTTAACAATTTGACCAAATTACTGTATGAAAATTTTTATTTCTCTTTATTGAACAATAATATATATTTTTCTTTTATTCGTCCATGGAAAGTTTGACATGGTAATTGGCAGGCTGTATTTTTTGCAATTACAGTTTAGGGGGGACAGTTATTATTTAGGGATTTTATCATTGATCAAAGCTTAAATAACGAAAAAATTTTTTGTGTCTTGAACTCTTATGAAATATTTAAAATAAAAACATTTTCCGAGGAAAATTTTAAGCTAGGTTGAAATGGAAATCATAGCAATCAAGTTTCTATCAACCGTAACTTTCCATTAAACGCAGAATTTTGATTTATTTTCAAATCATAATGTGGCGAAAAAAAATGTTTAAAAAATAAGAAATATTATTTACTTATAATCAAGGTTGGTTATTTTTTTTATTTTTTTATGTTTTTCTGAAACCTACATCACACCAGACCGCATCTCACGATTTCCGAANTCTATATATATATATATGTATATATATATATATATATGACGGGAATTATACAAATATTTGGTAAATATGAATTTTAACTTGTCAAATAATACTTAGTATAATACTTTCAATGATATAGCACATATTTTAAGCCAAATCCCGCTTATGCGTCCGGCATGTAGAGAACGGTTGCTCAATGTTTCCCACCTAATTAAAGGGTGACGTTCTTTGGCTTTATGTACAGAGCGGCTTGTTTGGAAAACATGTTGAAATAATCCTGTAATTTTTTGCTGATTTATAACACTTTTTTTCATGTTGTTTCGTCACAATTGTATTCTTTTTCTTACATAATTTAAAACATATACTTTTTTACTTTGTTCCATTTTACTTGTTTTCTCTTTTATTTTGGGAATATCTGTACTTGTTTTATTAGAACCTTAAATTAAATTAACAAAAATAATTGGAATTATTTCATTATTTCACTGACAGATTTAAGTAATGTGTTTTTGAATCTATTACAATTTTTCCTTGATTAACTAGGTAAAACGTTTTTCGTCCAATTCAGATTTAGGTTAACGGTTAATCGGTACATTTTCGAGGTCTAAAGGAAATAATGCCGAACTATTCTGATCGCCAGTGTAAAGAGCAATATTCCATTTTTCCTTTTTCAGGGCATTCGTTCAATGTATCGACGGGCGGGCATTTGATTAATAAAGTCTCGTTCTTGAACGAAAATTCACCTTCCTAGAATTTCCATGAAAAATCCAATTAATTAACGATGCACGTACAGAAAAACACGTTATTGTTTGTTAAACAATTGCCAACGGTTATTATTTATATCGAAAAAACGTATACAATAGGCAATATATATGTAGTAAAATCTAAATGATGGTCAAACATGCTATTGTGGTTGGAAATACAATACAAGTTTGTTTAGACTGAAGCCCCTGACACAAGTCAGATTCTGCTTTTCTTGGCTTCATTACTTGTTAACTCCCTGTCATAGTCTATTCTGATATTTCCATTTGTAAAACAAAACAATCAACAATGATTTTATTCCGATCCTACTTTCTTTATACAGTTCAAGTTTTGTAGATTTCTCTTTGAGTTAGGGGATGATGATCATGTAGTTTGATCGTTTCCGTTCATCCTGGTCTGTCGTCTTCCTTGTTTTCTTACATTAAATCTGTGTGTTTTTCTTCCATTTGATCACATTTATAATTAATTTGTATGGTGTTTTCAAAGTGAAAGATTACGTATTTGGGTGGTGCCGTTTTGTTCTGTTTGGACGGCCTAAGTCAGATTTTATGTTGTCCGATTGCTTTCTGTTTTTTTAATAGCTAAGTCAGGATGTTCCATAATGGTCTTAGAGGTTTGTCGATCTCAGTTGTTGTTTCAATTAATTAATCTTTATGTAAGGTATTGGTTGAGATAAAAAAGCCAGCGTCACGAGGGGGATTCGAACCTTCGATCCATTCGGACACTAACTTCCCATCTCAACCCAACTTTCGAATTTTCCCTCCTTTTTGCCATTTTTCAAATGTCGTGTAATCTATTCGATTCTCGGCGACAAATGAAATGGCCAAGGAGAGCTTTAGTGAAGATATACTTCATTTTACTTATTGAGGTGGGAAGTTGGTGTCCGAGTGGATCGAAGTGGTAGAACAACGGCGTATTTGGGCGAAGTTCGTGGATTCGAATCCCGCTCGTGGCATTGGCTTTTTTTTATCTCAAACCAATACCTTACATAAAGATTAATTAATTGGAAAAATGGTTGTATTTAGATTTTATGTGTGGTGATTAGTGACCGTTAATCGATAATTATTCAGAAATCGTGAGATGCGGTCTGGACCAGATTTCTGAATGATTTTAGATTTTATGTTTAATTTGTTAAAAAGATTTGTTAGTTAGTCGCGCTTATATGTTTTTCCCTTATTGAACGTAGTTCATTTAACGTCCGTTATTGATGTGTCTTCTTGTTATTGTGTTTGATTTTTTTACTGGTCTAGTGATGGTGCCTATATTCTAGCCGTTGTGGTGTTCTATGGTTTTTATTTCTCATCGCTTAATGGTACCGTTTATAATACGTCCGGGATGTATTTGAGTGTTATCATTTTTCTTTCAGTGTGGGTGGCCAACGTCAGTTTTTATAATATTGACTGTTAGTATTCTGTTTTTATAATAATTAAAATAGTTTTGGTGTTTCGGAGCTGGTTTTGTGGTCCATTCACTGATGTTGATATATTATGTTACAATGTTGATTGGGATTCGGGTTGTGGTCTTCAAACATACAATGTTATTATATCAACGCACAAGCTTTCGACAAGTTTTATTGCCTTCTTCAGGGGATAGATACAAAGTCATAACTTAAACACATTACACATTTCACGATATGTATATATACAAACTATATACATATATAATAAATAAATAAATAAAAACCTCTTCTTAATAACCTCTTACATATATATGCATTTTTTAAAACAGTAACAATTACTTAACAATTAGTATTCTTTAGGTATATAAATATCACAGGTGTTTGACTAGAAAAATTGATTTGATCAAACGTCTGTGATATTTATATACCTAAAGAATACTAATTGTTAAGTAATTGTTACTGTTTTAAAAAAATGCACATATATGTAAGAGGCTATTAAGAAGAGGTTTTTATTTATTTATTTATTATATATGTATATAGTTTGTATATATACATATCGTGAAATGTGTAATGTGTTTAAGTTATGACTTTATATCTATCCCCTGAAGAAGGCAATAAAACTTGTCGAAAGCTTGGGCGTTGATATAATAACATTGTATGTTTGAAGACCACAACCCGAATCCCAATCAACATCATATTAAAGGCTGGTTGATCGCATAACAAGTATTAGTCTCAGCTGGGTGCTTCTCCTCTTCATTATGCAGTTCTACAAACATATTATGTTAGTTTTATTATCTGTCTTTGGTTTATTAGTTTGTTAATTATATTTACGTTTTGACTTTTTTTGACATGAGTTTCAGTTTGGTCTTCATGTATTTAAATATTGTCATTCTGTGTCTTGTTAAGTGAGTTAGGTCAGCTCATATGATCTATGTTCAATTAAAAATTGTTGTTGTGGTGAATGATAGGTTTTATTAGTGACTGTCTGTAGTAGAAGGTGTCATCTACGATAGCGATTTTTATCTATGAATTTACTTTTTCCTTTTGCTATATATTTTCGATGTACACTCCTTTTGATCACCGTTTCGTAGATTGATCCATACCTAGCGAA